TACAATATTCATTTTTAACTATTAAAATAAACTTAAAAAAAATTAAAACTAATGTTTTTTTTTTTAATAGATGTCCACCAAAGCTCCAACGGGTCTTCCACTACCATTTGCCACAACACCAGTAAGTAAAATTACCTATAGGCTATGGGTACTTAAGATTTATAATACAGAATACAAATTATAATTGGTATGACATAACATTATTTTGTTAAAAACATTTTTATTTTTAAAGCAAATAAAAGACCCACATGCATTAGTTTTGAGACCAGAAAGCTCTAGAAGTGGTTCGGAATCATCAAACAGACCAGCAACAGCTGTCAGAGGAGCTGGTTACACATCACATTCATCTACTTATGATGTTTTAAGTCAGCCTTCAAGAAATATGATCATGTCAGAACCAAACAAAGAAGAAAGGTACCCATATATACGAGTATAGAACTATAAAACAAATTAGTATTATATTTTAAAATATATATTTATAAATATAAATTATATTTTCTGTTTATTATACAATAATAATGATAGCAAACATTAAACATGTTTTATATTAATAAAATTATAATAGAATAGAAGATAAAATCAAAAAACTTGAAAAACGCATTCATGATTTAGTCAATGATGCCTGTATGGCTGAAGCTAGAGGAGACTTCCAGCTGGGATTAGAGAAGTCAAAAGATGCTTCAAATAAGGAAAGAAGTTTAATTCGAATGCAAGAACAAGCAGGATTGAACGATTCTCACAATATTGATCTGACTTTTTTGGTATCTTCATTTAGTTACATTTTTTTATTCATATTATTACATTATTTAATTTATTTTACTTAGATTATTTTTTTTTATTTCTTATATAACAATATTGTATAAATAATTGTATAGAATTACTTATGATTACAAAATGCATTTATTCATCCATTTTTTAGGTCTTATTTACATTAGGTAACCAGTATGCAGCAAATGAAATGTATACAGAAGCTTTAAATACATATCAAGTAATTTCTAAGAATCGATTGTTTCAAAATGGTGCACGAATGAGAGTAAATGTTGCAAATATTTATGAAAAGATCGGACAGCCTGAAAAAGCAATTAAAATGTATCGAATGGCTCTTGATCAAGTACCAAATACCAATAAAAGTTTCAAGTAAATCAAATACCTATATATTATTTATTAAATAAACTCTGAAATAATAATTAGTTTTTTTTTTATTTAGGCGAGCTATTACACATAATATTGGTGTAATATTTTTGAAACTAGGCAAATATGAAGACGCTTGTTCAAACTTTGAGTATATTATGCACGAGAAACCTACGTTTAAAGCAGGAATGCATGCCTTGCTATGCTATTATATGTCAGGCAATAAAGATAAATCAAAACAAATATTCAAGCAAATGTTAGAAATATCATTAGATATAGATTTTGAAGACAAGTATGCTGCAAATTCTGTATGCAATTTTTAGTTTTTTAATTATTAATCATTAAATATTATTTTAAATAAATATTTGATAAATGTTTAGGACGATATTGAAGCAACACTCTTAGCAGAGGCTATTAAATCTGATCCTCTTACAAAATATGAAAAACAACTAAAATCGAATTTTGAAAAAACAATTCTAAACGCAGCACATCTAATATCATCAATTATTGAAGATACATTCACTGAAGGGTACAGTTGGTGCTTAGACACTATTAAAACGTCACGTTATTCGTACTTAGCTGGTCACTTAGAGATAAACAAAGCTGTCGGATTTCTTTATCAAAATAACATATCATCGGCAATTGATACACTCAAAGCGTTTGACAACAAAGACAGCAAAGTAGCGAGTGCAGCTGCTACAAACTTGTCGTTCATACATTTTTTGGTATGTCCATTATTAAACATGACATGAAATCATTAACTGACCAAATTTTATGCGTATGAAATTTATAGAAAGGTGATTTAGAACAAGCAGAAAGAACTTCAATAGCTGCCTGTGAAACAGATTCATGTAATAGTCTTGCGTGTGTCAATCAAGGAAACTGTTTCTTTGTCAAACAAGACTACTACAAAGCAAAAGAACTTTACACACTCGCGTTAGAGAAAGATATAATGTGCTCAGAAGCAATGTATAACTTGGGCTTAACTAATAAACAACTCGGGCATTTGGACGATGCGATGGATTGTTTTCAAAAGCTTCATGTCATTATTAGTAATCATCCGGAAGTTATTTATCAAATCGCATTGTTAAATGAAATGATCGGGGATTTTGAACAGGCCATAGAATGGTAACTATGCATAAATATCAACTTACATTTATAATTTTAGTTTGAATAATGACAAATGCTAAAATTATTTTAATAAATATTTTACTTTAAGGTATTTACAACTGTTGAGTATAGTTCCTGACGATGTCGGCGTTTTACAAAAATTAGGCGATATTTATGAAAACATTAACGACAAGCAACAAGCATACCATTATTATTATGAGGTTTCAAATACTTATTTTTGTAATCTTTTTTTTTGTAAATTTTATCATTAAATCTAATTTTAGTCATACCGCCATTATCCGTCAAACCTTGAAGTGTTGGACTGGTTGGGAGCATACTTTGTTGAAATGAAAGTACCGGAAAAAGCAGTAGACTACTTTGAACAAGCATCTCTTATGCAGCCAGCTGAACCAAAATGGTATATGTTGATTGGATCATGTTATAGAAGAGCAGGGCATTTTCAATTGGCTTTTCAAACATACAAAGATGTATTAAATAGATTTCCAGACAATACCGAATGTATGCCAACAATAATTTAAACAAATAAGAATATCAGATTAAATATTTAACAGTAAATCTCATAACTTAGGTCTCAAATTATTAATCAGAATATGTACGGATTTGGGACTGAAAGAAGCATCAGAATACAGTGAACTGTTGAGAAAGGCTGAGAAAGCTAAAGATATTAGAGAGCGTATAAGCACAGCACGGACTGGTTACCGTAAGACAATGGAAACAAGGGGTGGAACAGGTATGGTTACGACTTCTAATACAAGTAACTATGTCCAAAAGCCAACAGCTTCAGGAGAAACAAATATTTATGTACACAACAGCCCTAAAGATTCAGGTATAAAATTATGTTTATTACGCACCTAATTTTTACTGTGTAAATTACTAATTAGGTACATAATAATTAGTATAGGTACCTAAGTACTCGTAAAATGTAAATATGTAAGAAAATATTACGAATATTATACATACCTATAAAAAGTAAAAAAATAATATTCATATTCAACCTTTTAGTTTCTGATTATTGAATTAAAATTAATTGTACATTTATAAATGTTCATTAGCTAAACTCAATAACACATTTTGTTAAATATTTTTTAAATTATATTACTCAGGTTTGGTGAGCGATTCTTCGCAACGACCGCGGACATCTAGAGGAGGAACGGCTTTGATTACAACATCAATGCCATTAACAAGTGCATATTCACGACAAAATATTTCTGATGAAACCAACATATATGTTCACCCAGAAGCAAAATTATCTAATGGTAATTAAACGTATTATCATTAATATGAATTTCAATATTAAATACTATAAAGTGCAGTGCAGTAAAGCCAGTGATGCCCAAAATTTTTCTTTGGAGTGGGCCTCCAAAGGTTAGGTTTATAGTAAAATATTGCATTCATGCATGCCATAAACAGCAGAATAAATAAATATGTATAATAATAATGAAAACAAAATTAAAATAATTTGGAAATTTTACTTTTTATACATTTTTTTAAACTTATAAATTGTTTAATGGATTGAGTATCACTACTGTAATCAGTGGTGTAACTAGAGAGGTTAGCATAGCAGTTCTTAACCTTTTGTAAATCACAGACCTCTGATCAAAGATTCATAGAAATAACAGACTTCTAACCAATTTTTTTTTTCAAATACCTTTTTTTTTTTTTTCATAAAACATCACATGTTATCATAATCAAAATAACAATAATTATTTAATATTAAAAATTACATAACAAAACATACATATTTATAATTATTTTTACTACACTAAATTTTTATACTTAAAAAAATAATATAACTTATTTTATTTTTAAAACTTAATTTTCATTTACTTAATGTGATGGTTAGTGTTGCATTTGAGTGGTAGTAAATAAACAGTTACCAACCAAAGAGCTGTATGCCAATACATTTTGAATGAACAAAATAACTGATAAATATTAATAAAAAAATATTGAATGTAGAATCTACACCTAGTATTTAACACTGAAGATAATTTATTGATTGTATCAAATTCCATTATATCTCGTCATCAGTGTTATAAAGTTAAGATGGGTATATCTCTTATATAATAAGATACAGTATCTATAAAAAAAAATTAATAAGAATCCAATATTGTAATAATACAATCATGTCTCACATATCAACATATGTTATAACTTATAAGTGTTAAGGTTGCTGCGGACCACAAGTTAAGAACCGTTGGGTTAGTAACAAGCAATCACCTATTGTATAACCTGACCATAATACTATCATTTTGTTATCTTTACTTAACTAAAAATTGTTCTACGATGTTTCAAACAATTCAATAAAACAATGTTATGTTCTCGTGAACTTTAAGTATATTATACACAGACTATTTATACATTAATTTTAATTAAAAATACTGTGATAAGAAGTAAAATATTCTCATAACATGCCTAGAGGTAATACAAAACTGCAATGAAGGCTAATTACAGCACTAACTGTAATAACTATAACATACATAATTATAAATATTTTTTTTATAGACATGACGTATAGTGATCCATTGGGACCCTTACAAAGACCACGCACATCTACATCAAGACCAATCACATCATTAGAAAAAGAATTTGCAGATGAACAAGTTCAAGACCTTTTACCGGAATAATTATGCATATATTATAAAATAACAATAGAAATTATTTTATTTACATTTTTGCATAAACATAAACATATTTTTTTTTATTGACTATTTAATAACTAACTTATATTCAATAATCATTCAAAATAAAAAATAACCAAAAAGCCAAGAAATCCAAGATGTTTGAGCCTGTGGTTGATCTAATTTGGTTTCTATGACAGTTTTATCAGGTTTTAAAATTTTATTTTCTTCATAGCGACGTTTTGTTAATTCTAATGCAGCTAATCTTTGATCATTTAAAAATGAAGGCATTCCTAATAAAATAAAATACATTTTGATTATTATATTATTAAAATTGAATAAATTAAAAATAATAATATACCTTTACATTGGTACCACGACATAAGGTAATTTGAAACAGTAACTCCAGGGTCATCAAAGTAAGTGATTGAAAACTCGACTCCTGGCTATAACATAAACAATAAATTCAAAATCATGATATTTAATAGTGCAATAAATTATTCATAAAATTAATACCATGAACTGAAATTTAACTTTTTTTGTTTATAAATTATTAAGTACCATAAGTTATAGTATGTCTCATAAATTTCTTATATCTGTTAATCTCATAGTAAATTTAATTTTTCATTATGATTATTTAATGTTAAGTTAATTTATAATGAAGTATACTATTTTAAGTTGCATAAGAAGGATAGTAACAGAAAAAAATGTAATATAGCCTTTATATTTTAAATTATTAAAAGATTTGTTTTTTCTAGTAAATTCTAGTTTATATTCAATTTCGATTTTAGATATTGTGTACATAATGTTAAGTACAAAATATATGGTGAATATTTAATTTCTAAACAAAAAGAATATAAACATGTTTTTGAGTAAAAATAAAATCTAAATCAAACATTTTATATTTATGAACCTTACATACCTTATCAAAATCCTCATGTGGTTTAATGACAATATATGACCAGTAATTTTTTACTCTCCATTTATTACTCCGTTCAGGAAAATCAGGATGTTCGACGCTTTCACAAACAATTAACATTAATTTTTCATCTTCATCAATTTTGTAACGTCGTTTAAACACATAATCACGATTTTGAAACCATTTCTATAAATTATTCAAATAACTTATGTATTAACAAAATACAATAATAATAAAATAAGTAAAAGTAATTGAAAATAAAAAAATTATACTTAAGTCACATATTATAGATAATATATTAATTTAATAAAAAAAATCAATACACAGAACAAAATTAAAACAATATGAAAATTAAAAATAAAAGAAACTATCTACTAATTTTTTTATCAAAAATATTGTTTGGATATGTTAAGTACATAAATATAATAGAAACTAATATTAACTGCAAAAGAAGGTTTTTTAATCGATATGTAACATTTAACAACACTATATAATAAAAATATAATTGTAATTTACTCAAAAATTGATATATCTTAAATTTTAATAAATTTATAAAATATAAGATAGAATATATCGACATTATTACAAATTAAATAAAAACATATAATAATATAATAAATATAATGTTTATATTTTATCGTATACTATTAAATACTATTCAAATCTAAATTTCCAAAAAGTTGACATGTTGACTTAATTTTTTTTTTTTTAATTTGTATTTTTATCATTGTAATCACTTTAAAAATATTTTGATTTTTCACTTAGTATAATAATTTATTTAGTCTAGTAAATTTATAAATTTAAAATTGATAATAATATATTTTTTTTAAATAATTACCGGCCAACGAAGTTCCCAGTAAATGAGATCACTATGTGTAAGAGGCTCAGAATCAAAAATATTCAAGTCTACAGACATACTATCCCATTCTTTTCGATAGTCAAGATCTAACTGTACTTGCATGAAGTCTAATGCTGTTATATCATTAAATGATCCATGCACTAAAAAAATATATTAGTTTTCATCTTGAATTTTAATTTTTTTTTATAATTTTATTAGATACCTTTATAAATATATAAATTTTGATCTGGATAATCAACATTAGGTTTTTTCCAAGCATTGTAATAAGAACCACTCGTAAAAGGTTCCCATCCTTCTTCTGCAAAAATAAATTAAATCAAACTACAAAAAACGTTTTACAATATTAACTAAAATGAAAATTAATATTTAGTGATTGGTACTATAATTATTGAATTACCACTCATATTTCTACATCTAGGACAATCACAACTATTTTGTGAACAATCAAGTTTGTTTTGATTATCTTCTGTTTTAGAAATAGATAACTCTAGTTCATTATTATTAGAATCGGTATTTTGAGAAATACTATTTTGCTCATTTTGAATATCATTTAAAGCAGATTTTTCATTTAATTTTTTGACAATTCCAAATTCTTGACGTAACCTATGAAAAAATAAAAATAAATATTCATTAGATGAAAATTTAATTTAATATTATTAAGCCAATATACCTGATTAGTTCATCAACACATATTCTTTCTTTATACCAATCAAATGTAAAAGCCATAGCCACACACATGATCAAATTTTTTCTGTGTTTAGCCAATTGTTGTTTAAACTTATTGACTGCAGTAATCATTTTTTTACAAGCTATCATTACCTTTTTAGTTCTTGCAATATGAGCACCAAAGTCTTGTTTTTTAAAAAAATTTTTTGTGCGTTTTTTTAAAATAGATAATAATAATGAATCATTTGATAACGATTTTTTGCACCGCTTTGAAAATTTACGGCATACTGCTTGTGCCCGACAACTTGATGATGCCATTAGTAAATTTTGTTTCCAAACAATGTTTCTAATTGACATATTGACTAGCTAATAGTGATGTTACTAACAAAAAAAAAAAAAAAAAGTGAAAACAAAATATTAATCTTAAAATCAAATCAAAGTTAAAAATAATATTATTATTTTAGCATAAAAGAGACCTATTTGGAAAAATGCCAAAATATTTTGACTGTTTAAAGAAAACAATTATTTATTTAACCACTTTTAATATATAATAATAATGTAAGATTAAATCTGTCATAAAAATATATACCTACACAAATAGATAAAAAAGTAAATCTAAATTACTTGAAGAACAATCATGAAATACATTGATTAAAAGCTAATAAACAGCCATGAAAATTATTAAAATTGCTTTTAAAATTTTCAACTAATATCACATTAAATTTTTAAATACAAGCAATAGTTATTTTTAAATTTAAATTTTAACTTTTAGAATGCCATTCTGGGTTATTATTAGGGCTCGGAAGTTGATGACCTTAAAAACAATAAAATATGACATAAAAATGACAAAAATGTCCTTAAAATGGGAAAATTAAAAAATTAAAAATATATGTTTTATAAATGTCTGTGGTTTAAGTTATCGGCATAATGGTCAACAAGAAACGATAAGAAATGAACTAGTGTGAAATCAGTAAAAATAACTAAAAATGTGGGAAAATTACCTAAAAATCTCAAAAAATGACTTAAAAAGTAATAAACACCAAAAAATGCAAAAAAATGCAAAATAAAAATTAGTTATTTAGATTCACATGCTTACGAAACAGATTTGTGGCCAGGAGAGCATCGCCTAAAAAGTTCCAAAAAGAAATGCAAAATGCATCAACTTTTGAGCCCTAGTTATTATCATACACCTAAGTACTAAAAGCAACATTCTTTAGTAAAAATAGTAAAATAATATACATTAAAAAATAATCAACTATTTTATTATTTCATTAATTTACCTACTAAAAATAATACTTGAACTCTATTAAGATCAAAAGTTTTAGCAATTATTTATTAGAATACATCGTGATCAAAAAACTTACAAAAGTTGATTAATTAGGTACAATTTCAGTGCGTTAAGGTAAAACAATGTTAAACAACATATTGTTGCATACAGTTTGATAGAAAGTGTCAAAGTTGTTCTCAGTTCTCTACATCACATGTATTATTAAAATAATTTACGAGCCCGTCGGTTCAAATACAAGTTGATTATCGACTGAACGTTGCGAAATAGTTAAATGAAAGCACGGCGCACACCGATAACACCATAATTAATTCTCTCAATTGACTGACATTGACTAATATCTGATTAACGTAATATGAATATTACTATTTATTATATACACATAACTCGAAAGTAGCAAGTACATTACACATTTATATATCAGAAAAAAATATAAATAAAAGTTTTTGACTTAGGTCCAAAACACAAGGTTATCTTCGTCTAAATTCTAAATAGTTCAAACATGTGAAAATTCAGTGTTAATAAAAAAGGGAAAATAATATCAATTTGTTCGATGACAGTGAACACATTGTATAACATTATTATTAGTTATCACTTATCAGTTGTCCAACTCTAACAAGACTGAGAACAGTGAGTGAGAAGAGAACATGAAAGACCGGAAAGATTATTATTGGAGTAATTACTGATTTTAGATTATAATAATTATTAAATATTAATTATTAATCAATTAATTTACGGTTTAAATAGTGATTAGACCATTAAACAAATTATTTCTAGCTCTTGCAGAAAATTGATTTTTTTTTTTTATGTCAAGAACCTACTGATAAAAGAAAACTATTTGGTTATTACTGCAGTTAAAAATTTAAAATTATAATAGTAGTCTAATAAATAGTAAACAAAAATTATCAAGTAAAAAAAAGTACAAAATATATTCGGACAATAAATGACAATTATTATTGCTCGATAAAACTCGTGCCTAGTTTTTGTTAATGAAATATTTAAGTACTTTTATGTGAATCATGTATGAAATATAAATATGGATTTAATACTTGTATTTTTATAGTTTATATTGGTGTAACATACTAACACGGTATTAACTATTAATACTTGTACAAAGTAGTAGTAACTAGTTATTTCTATGACTATATAGGTACTCACTTGTTTTCCACATAAAAATTAAAAAGTGACTCAGTGAACAAAGTAATAACTAAGATAATGGAAAAACGTTTCTTCATTAATAAATATTCCGAAAGTCATGAGATTGATTTAAGTGTAAATGAAAAATTTTGGATAGATAAAGTAAATAGCTTAATGCAACTTGTTGATCAAAATGCTTCATCATCGTCAAAAAACACTTTGTATACTGGAACGGCTGGGATCGCATATATGTTTTATCACTTGGCAATATCAAACAAATTTAAAAACAATTCCTCAAACTATTTAAATAAAGCTATCAAAGTCCTGAAACTTAAAGAAAGTAGTTTTAATCGGAAAAAATCAAATCATTTTATTTGTGGAGACGCAGGAGTAAACGCTGTAAGTGCTGCAATATATAACCAGATAGGTGATGCTAAAATGGCTGAAATGTATTTGAAACATTTTGAGGATGGAGTAACTATTTGCAAGCCAATAGATTCTTTGAAACCTGGAGAAGATGAACTATTTGTTGGCCGTGCAGGTTACCTCTATGGAGTTCTTTGGCTGGAAAAAGTTTTTGGAAAAAAAATAATACCTGACCAAGATGTTATTGACATATGCTTAACAATTGTAGAATCTGGTCGTCAATATTCAAAAAAATATAATAGCATATTTCCCCTTATGTATTCATATCATGGTAAAGAATATTTAGGCAAGTGTTCTCAAAACTGAAAAAAAAATTTGCTTTATTTCAATCTCATTCTCTTGGTAACTTGTTTGTTATTTTTTGTTATAGGAGCAGCTCATGGCCTGTGTACAATTCTCCAAGTACTAATTTCAATTCCTTGTTTTATTAAAAATGAACCAAAAGCTTTACAAGATATCAAAAAATGTGTAGACAAATTGATATCTTTACAAACATCCAATGGTAATTTTCCTGCTAAAATGCAGGAACCCCAAGAAGATAAATTGGTTCATTGGTGCCACGGAGCTCCAGGTGATTAATTTTATTTTTTATAACTGTAAACCATGAAAATATTAAAATGATATATTTATATCTTATATTTGTTTATGGTCTATGACTCTGTTCGTAGTGTTGGTCTGGTCCACCTGGTTATCCTGCGAATGTTGATGGACTCTTTTAATAATTAATATTGGGAGTTAATAACTGAATGGGAGAACATACATTTCAATAATACCTACAGATATTTCAAATTCTTTTTAAACCAATAAAAAAAAATTTGATTTATTTAACACATTGTGCATCGCATTTAATTATGTTCTTATACTTTGTGCATACAAGTTACCTAATTGTAAATAATTATTTTATAAATCAAACTTAGATCTTCAATAAGCAAATAACATCTGGATCCCTTAACTTTTCTAACTATTGAAGAAGTCATCATTCAATTTATAAACAATTAGGTACATCATTGTTATGTTAGGAATAGGATCTTTCAATAATTAATTAAAAAACTATTATTTTTATAATTAATTAGGTACAATTTTATTATTAATACTATTTGTTTATTTTAATTTTTTTTTTTTAACAACAAGGTTAATTATTTTCTATTTCTATTTACAGTTGTAACAAAAATACCTTTTTTAAAACATTGTTATACCTTATACACATTATACCTACCAACAATGTGAGAAATTCTATATTCCTGAATATTACTGTTAAGAAAATTTATTGACATTTTGATTGATAAACTAAAAAATAATTATTACTTAGATATATATATTTTTTTTTAGGTGTTGTATACTTATTAGCTAAAGCATATTTAGTTTTTAAAGAACCTTCTTATTTGGAATGTTGTTTAAAATGTGGAGATTTGGTATGGGCAAAAGGACTTTTAAAAAAAGGCCCTGGTAAGCTATATGAAATTTAAAAATTTTAATTTGTATAATTTTAACTTTAAATTTTAGGTTTGTGCCACGGAATAGCTGGAAATGGATATGTTTTTCTACTATTATATAGGTTGACCGGTGATACAAAACATTTAAACCGAGCTGTACAATTTGGTAAATTTATATTCACTGATGAATGTATTCAAGGATCTAGAAGACCAGACAATTTGTATAGTTTATATGAAGGATTAGCTGGCACTGTGTGTTATTTAAGTGATTTAATTCAACCAGATAAAGCTAGTTTTCCATTTCTAGATGTGTTCTAATTAAATATTTTGTTGTATCAATCGTCAAGTAAATTATTAACCATGTATAGATTATTATAATAAAGTATGTCTTAAATATTTGAAAATGGTTGTACATTGACACATGTTATTAGGAATTATGATATAATCAATATATTGTAAATAAACTATGCACAACATCTATAATAGTTATCAATATCTTAAGGTATATCTGAACTTATGATTTTAGTTTAATATGAATGATGAACAAAATCATTGTGTATATAAAATTATAATTCTATATTGTGAATGAAATTATCTCTTCGAGATTCATGTTAATTGTATAAATCATTATTTTGTCTTGATTTTGAATTTAAGTTTAAGCCTAGCCTAATATACATTTTTAATAAGTGTCTATTTTTTAGTGAAAATCTCTATTAAATGTGTTCTGTAGTAATACTTCTATTTATTTTGTTTTGTTTTATTCAACCAAATATATATTATTTAAAAATTCTAAAAAAAAAAATATTTATTAAATAATTATCAATAAACATAAATTAAAATCACAGTAACAATACCAATAAATTGAGTAAATAAAAATAATTGTATGAATTAAAACAAATTTATATTAAAATAACTGTGCAAATGACATAGTATAACAATTTAATTATGATTAACTTTTCATTAATCATTTTTGGAATGAGACTGATTGGTAGACATTAATGTATTATAGAAAATGTTCTGGATAATTGTTTGAATTTGACTTCCAGAAAATGTTTGATCAACAGGAAACTCGCGTGCTATACTCTTATACAAGATTTTCATGGATTTCTTTAATTCGTTTGAATTTTCTATTTTATTTGGCTTTTCTATAACCAATGCTTCTAATTTTGTTAATCTGTCATTGGTTTTTATACTATCTAATTTAAATTTTTCAAATTCTTCATATAACGATTCAATACAAACTGACCTTAACGGAGCAATGATTTGATCAGTTTGGTTGTCCTCAATAATATCTTTTGCTTGAAAAATATCTTTTGTTTGAGCTAAAGAAGAATTATTTTTAGGAGCTACACTTATTGATTCTTGGCTTACATTTTCTGAAAAATCATTTATGACATCTTCTGGAAAATCATTTATGACATTTTCTTTAATTTCATAAACATTTTTCACAGTTACAGTTAAACATAAACATTGTCGGCCATTAGTCAAAATTTTCCAAGCACCCATTTCAGCAAATGGTATGTATATAATTCTTTGAGTGTTGTTATTAACCCCTAATAAAGATCTTTCCCAGCCATCTTGATTTACATTAACTTTTAAGTATTGACTATCTTCAATGTTATTAGAAACTTCTGGTCCAATTTTATTACCCTGAATTGTATTCGCAACATAAATTATCTCCACAACACTGCCAAACATTGCTACATTGTCATTCCGAGATGGATAATAAAGATCAAACCAAAACAATTCCTTATACCCATTAAGCTTCCACAGTACAAATGCCAAATGTGAATTGAAGTCCACAGCGTCATTTGTACTTGAAAATTCTAAATGCCAATTATCTTTGGAAAAGAATTCAACCGTATTATTTTCATTTACATTGTACTTGAAATCTTTGGTTAATATGAGATTGGCGAGAATAGAATTTTTACTACCATAAAGTAAGAGTTGATAGTAATTTAATTTCACATCTCCAGCCAACGCAAATCCATATTTACCAATTGCAGTTAATTCGTTGTTTTCAAGCTTGCTTACAGTAACTGCTTTCGCAACAATAGTTGCAACTACTGGAGGATGAGTCGTCAAAGATTTTGGTCGTTGAATTGGACGACTGGCATCATTTTGGTGATGTTTAAATGTTTCTTTTTTAGTAGTCGAGTCCATAAATAAAAAAGTATACCTTGTACAGTAGTTATTGAATAAAACGTATTCAACATTTCAAAACATAATCATGATCATGTATTCATGTTGCATTTAAAATTATTTATCAATTATCAGTTATCAATTTTTTATAAAATAAATTAAAATGATTATCAATAGTATTTTTATCATGAACATCAAATGATAACATTAAACCTAGACAGTAGACAATATTTATAGTGATCTCTAGAATACAGATCTACTATTGTTTTATGCTATGTTATTATTTATTATAATTGATTGTTATGAACTGAACAGGTGTTCAAAATTGTATAGTAATAAATAATTGCATCCCGAAACTAGAGATCGAGCACTAAAGTGGACAATAATTATTATAGTAAATTGATATAGTGCAAACTGATGGCAAATGAAGAACATTTATTTATTATTTGTTTTCATTTCTGTAAATTGTTTTTAGTTTTATATTTTTGTATCAGACACTGAGACTTAATTCTTTAATTGTTTTAACATTTTTGTAACCTGATATTTCAAATTAGATAAATCTTATTTAAAAATAGAAATAATACAAAGTACCTAAAAATACAACTTAGGCATAATACATACACTATACCTAGTATTTACATGACTACATAATAGACAAAAATTGAGTAACAGAAATAAGAAAAATACACTTCAGATAGTAGCTTTGAACATAAGATTTAATGAAATAAATTACACATGTTATGTACATAAGTCAAATTTAATATTTGTTTGATATAAAAAAAGTTTAATTAGAATACATCTAGAAATGGAAAACTAGCTTTATCTGGTTGAATTAAATCACTTAAATAACACACAGTGCCAGCTAATCCTTCATATAAACTATACAAATTGTCTGGTCTTCTAGATCCTTGAATACATTCATCAGTGAATACAAATTTACCAAATTGTACAGCTCGGTTTAAATGTTTTGTATCACCGGTCAACCTATATAATAGTAGAAAAACGTATCCATTTCCAGCTATTCCGTGGCACAAACCTAAAATTTAAAGTTAAAATTATACAAATTAAAATTTTTAAATTTCATATAGCTTACCAGGGCCTTTTTTTAAAAGTCCTTTTGCCCATACCAAATCTCCACATTTTAAACAACATTCCAAATAAGAAGGTTCTTTAAAAACTAAATATGCTTTAGCTAATAAGTATACAACACCTAAAAAAGAATATGTTTTTTTAATAATATTAAAATAACATTATTATTTTTAACACCAATACACAATATAAATTTCAATGAATGATACATTTTTAAATAATTGATACAAAAATATTTAAAATAAATTTTATTACCTGGAGCTCCATGACACCAATGAACCAGTTCATCTTTTTCAGGTCTTTTTCTTGAACCTAATTCGTCCATTGCACAAGGAAAATTACCACTAGTTGTTTGTAATGATATCAGTATGTCTATACATTTTTTAATATCTTGCATAGCGTTTTGTTCATTTTTAATAAAACAAGGAAATGAAATTAGTACTTGTAGTATTGTACATAGACCATGAGCTGCTCCTATAAAAAAAATTAAATTATTTTAAAATATTCTGAAAAATAAACTTCTATAATAATAAATACTTACCTAAATATTCTGTATTGTAATATGAGTACATGAGAGGAAATATACTTTTATTTTTTTTAGAATAATTACGTCCAGATTCCACAATTGTTAAACAAAGTTGAATAATGTCTTGGTCAGCTATTATTTTCCTATCAAAAACTTTTTCTAACCATAAAAGTCCAAAAAGATAACCGGTACGACCAACGAATAGTTCGTCTCCTCCTGGTTTAAAAAAATTGATTGGCTTACAAACAGCTAATCCTTTTTTAAAGTTTTCTAAATAAATTTCTGCTGTTTTTTCATCACCAATTTTGTGAAATATTGCAGCATATACAGCATTAACTCCAGCATCACCACAAATGAATTGATGTGAAGATTTTTCAGATGAATTGTGCTGCATTAGTCTTGATACTTCAACTGCTTTATTCAATAAGGCAGGAGAATCGTTTTTAAACCCTTCCGATGTAGCTAAATGATAATACATATATGCTATTCCTGTTGTTCCAATATACAAGTCATTATCAAGCGACAATGAAGCATTTCGACTAACATCTTCCATTAGACTGTACACACTTTGTTTCAAAAAATCATAAGACATATTTGAATCAACTTCCTGACCATCAGGAAATACATTGTCGAAATAGCGTTTTGGCATTTTTCAATAGATTTTAAGCACCTACAAAAATAAGCTACCAAATTGTTTTTCAACTGATGTCTGTTAATGGTATTAAAATTTATATTAAATTATACACTGAACATTAATATTAAGTTTAAACATTACTAAAAGTAAGAAGGTACCTAAATAACATTTTAAAAATACAAATACAACCTTTATTTTATTGTCAATCCTCTATGAAGAACTGTTGGTTATTTTTAATTCGTTGCTACAATAGTTGTTACTTTCTATGTAAGGTACCTATATGTGCTACATAAATTATTACGATAACCAACGAAATACGAGTGATAAAATAATAAAATAATTATTATTATAGAAGTAATCGCTCACAAAGATAATTTACCTACCTATCTGAATAATGAATATATTTTAAATAATGCTGGTCGGCCACGATTTATGTCTTATGACAGCATTACAGCAATGATACTTATTGATAGTAGATAGTACTATAGTAGGTACGCATAGGGCTAAAATCGTATACGATATGATTAAACAGATATTTGATAATACTAGGTTCACCCACAGCTGATAATCATAATCTAGGTTTATATTAAAAGGATTTTTAAATAATTCTCATTTTAAAGACGGGTTCACACAAAAATGTTTTATTTCAGTAAATAAAAATCTAATATCTATTGTTTGTAAAGAGTCGTTTTATTGGTTACATACGATTAAATAGCTTCTATAATAGGAAATAATTTTAGACGAAAAACTATCATTTTTTTTTTTTTTTTTATTTGTATATATTGTTGTCATTACACGAAGTTACATGAAATGAAATAGTTATTATGATTGGATATAATTTTTTGTATTTTGTACTTAGTCAAAATAACCCAAATAACTACCTATGTTAAAAAATCTTCGCAATCTTAGGTACTCATACATGCCATTTTATACTTCCTAATTAGTTGCATTTATGTAAGATATTTATAAGTTACTATGTAATATTATTCACCTATATGTTTATTTAATTTAATTTTCGAATTTTAATAGTTTATTACTGAAAGCTATATAAATATATTAATTTTTTATTTTAAGTGCAATCTACAATCTATACCACTTGAGCACAATAAGCAGATGTGATACAGATTAGTTATATACACAAATTTTAGAAAAACACACTATATCATCTTTAATAATATAAATAATAATAATAATAATAATAAAAATTAAATTAATTGTTTAACGTCTTTACTTTACATTAATCGAATTTATAATAAAAAAAAAACAAAATTATTAATTGACGTGTATAATCATAGACCTGCTACTAACGAATTAATGCGTTTTAAACTTGACAATCATAATAATACAGGTAATTGGGCATAATCAATGCCTCCATAAATAATAAATAATAATAATACCTCTGGTGAGATATAAGAAATAAACAGTTATGTTTATTTTATGAACAGTTTATATTCAATAGACATAATTACATAATATATAAATATATTCAAATCGAATTGGTATAATGAATAGGTATTGTGATTATTTACATAAATGTATTTACATTCTTCCTTCGAAAAAAACGTCAACAAAAAGTGGTCATAATTATATTTAGTTCCTTAGATAGAGCCGTTATTTTAACACGTTTAATAGTATACCAACTACCTCTGTATTATGCAATTGTGTATTCGTGTTTTGTCTGTGCACCTGAAATTTACATTTTATTTCAACTAATTCGATATGAAATATCGCAATTTCACCATTTGTAAATTATAATGCATATTAATGCCTATTACGTGTCAATAGTTTATTAATATATTTATACGTGATATCTACTAATAATTAAAACAAATCAATCTTTATTGATTCATAAGTTATAGTCGTTGTTTTTTGAGCAATTTTTATAAATGAAATTAGCACGTATGTATAAATGCTTGAGTGCTTTCAGGAAAAAAAAATTAAAATTTGAAAAGATTTTATAATACATTCTGATGTCTAAATTTTACAAAAATAAAATTGATTTAAAATTTGAAAGCAATGTATATAGAGTGCTCACTTTGTTCTCCTCTATTTATAAAAAAATATTTTTGAAATTTTATTTTATCAGTATAAAAATTCAAAAAGCATTATTTCTTGCATTAAACAAACTATGCACAGAAATGTTTTTTTTAAAGCCATTTTCAATTTTTTGCAGCCGTCAATTATTCATAAAAAATTCGTTTTAAATATCATTCCCACCAGGGGCGGATCCAAAAATTTTCCACGGGGGTGGGGGGACGCATAAAAAGAAAAAAAGGTCATTAGATAAAAAAAAACTTAGCTCAATAATGTCTTTTTTTATTTAATTTGAGGGGCGCTTCTCTTCGCCTCTCCTTGGATCCGCCCCTGATTCCCGCATTTATTATATGGTTAAACTTTGTATTTATGTACTAATTTTTTATGGGTATAAAAATTAATTCACATAATAAATAATACAAAGATAAAATTGGCAATTGGTTTGATGATATCTACATTTTTACACAATATTAATAACTTTGACATTTCTACGTCTATAGGTTATTTTATAGTTAGAATTTAAGACTTATTGCACTAAAATTGTTGGAAATTTGCAAGTACGTGTGAATCTAAAATAAATTATAACATTAAATATTATCAAACTTTTAATTATAGTATTAATACCTATATATAAGTAGCCGCTAGGTTAGGTTAGGTAAGTAGGTAGGTACACCAGTTTCTCCCACATTTACACACCTTCGACATTTTTTAATCGTCAATATATATTTGAATTGTATTAGATACAAAATATAATATTATTTTATTTAAATAAATTACGAGTATAGTAAAAGGTATGAATCATGTAATGTACTCAAAATAGGTAATGTTAATTGTAAAACTGTTTGAAAATTCTTGATAACTCGTGTTATACCTATATTATATATATATAAAGAATTTTCAATGATGATTTTGTGTTTTTCAACTTCAGTTTTTATGTGCATATAATTATATAAATAGCATAAATAAAATAACACTATCTTATTACTTATGTATAATGTATATAAGTATAATTGTATTACCTATTTACCTATAACTATATAACAGCAACTATCGACTAATAGGAATGTCATGGTAATGTATAATAGCGTTGAAAATGTTATCTGTATCTATATATAAGCAAGTGAATGTAATAAACATTGTTTTATGAATCTCATCCTCGTATAACCTCAATAGATTAAACAACTGATTTCATGTAAAGGTACTTAAAAACTAAAAATAACTCGAATAATATTAGTTCCCGCATGCCAGTTTAACAAACGCCACTCCATACCTCTTTTTCATTTTTCCTCCTTATTTATACACCTTAGACTATACTTGAATGATTATTAGTCCGTTATTATTATTTCTCGCTTTTAAACGTCTCATTTAATAGTTATGACTGTAATTTTTTTTTCGTAGTTTGTATACATATCTTTATACACATATTATGTATTATTACTTATTTGTTTATGACGCATTAACTGTTATGATATCAATGTATTGTTTTTTTTTTTTGAGCTTATATGTCTGATTTTTGTGTAAAAAAAATTGTAGCCGATAACAATATTTTAAGTGTGAATTTCTTATACAAATTTTAGGTACCTATTTGCATTTAATTTAGCCATATAATGTATTTCAGTTTCCAAAACAAAATACCTATAACTACTAGTACCTATTGATTTTAGAATATAAAGTATAATATTCTAAAATCAATGCTACTTAAGTACCTATATATTATTACCTACACAATTAGGGATTAAATATACGTTATCTAAAAGTAAAAGTTAAATTAAAGTACCTATCTACTGTAACAACTTACCATTTATCAATTAAGTAATTTGAAAAAAAGATGTTAGGTTAAAATCATGTTCATACATAAAAGGTGCTCTAACATGTTAAGTTAAGACTAATAAACAAATTATTTTTTATTTAAATTTTTAACATAAATAAATAAATATTTCTTGATATTTTGTTGACATGAACGCGTTGTTTATATCTATAGTATATAAAATAAGAAATAGTGTAGGATGTATTTTTATTTTTTTAACACAAGTAGGTAGTAATTAAAATTAAAATTACTAGGTAACTACTATTTAATTACGTATTAAGTTAATATTTTGTTCTATATTAACTTTAAACTTGCAGAGTTAATTGTATTGCTTGTTAACTATTAATTTACATAACTTAGTGTTCGTAACTTTGACTCGATTCAGCTAACTCAAGTTATTATTTTTTATTGTTATTAACTTGCATACATTTGATTATGTATATATGCGGCATTAAAACTTAAAATTTAAGAACCCGTGTTCTAAATAGTCATGATGCTACATTATACATCGGTACATAAATAATAGTCATTCTATACAAGCTATTGTGAATTTGTAACAAGGTTTCGAGATCATCGTCATCGCCGCCGCCCGATATTACCTATTACTAATATCATTGTATGGCCGAGGTGTATATACATTTGTACACAATAATAATTAACGTTCACGGTTTGACGATATGTTATTTTGTTTATTTATTATCACTATAGGTCGACGCATAGCATTGAGACTAATGAACAACACCTTATAAAATAAAAAAAAACAAAGGCCGTAGATATGTTTCAAAGAGACCAATACATACACATGTAGGTATTTAAAAAAAAATAGCAGATCAAAATCCCTGAACGAACATAAAACAATAATAGAAGTATAGAGATATGAATGTGTACAACCTCTCAACAGGCTAGAAAACATTTATAATACATACACACATATTGTATTGGATACAATGCGTTGATGTTATAATATTATTGTGCACACATATATAATATATACCTATGTACATATTCTATATGTGTGTATATAGGTACACACACACACACACACACACTATCGCAAACACATATGTATACGAAATTGTTTATGTAAACTATTGAAATAATGTCAAAATATAACTGATATCATATATTACAGTAAGTACTATAGGTATAGGTACACACGTGGATATATATTATTATAATGTATGTGTTGTGCGAACACAGATTAGGTTATGTATCTTGCTATATATGTATATTAATTGGCACGTGATAATAATATTAACTATAATAGCTAATAATTATTATATTATATGGTAAGCGCGACCTTAGCCCAGTGAATATCACGATGTATATTATATCACAGCCAAGTTTATAGAGGTACTTACTATGTATATGACGCATGATCACACAATATATATACCTATATTGTAAAATTTGCATCGTCCATTGTCATTTTTACTTTTAATTAAACTTAATGTGTTATTATTATGCACTTGAATCATGTTTAGTTGTCTTCTATATGTAATAGGGTACATCTGGCTTTGGCCAATGTCAATATCTATTCGCCAACACGTAGGCGAGTCTGTATACCTGTATCATATCATATATAATCATAAAGAATACAGATGTAATCGAATAGGTACAACAATAATAGTGTCAATAATATACTACGCCTATGAGTCTATGCACATTTATACATATATTATAATAACATAATGGTCATATTATAAAGAGGTAACCGCGACATATTGCAATTATTGCATTATATTATCCACCACTGTATTATTGCACAATCCGGAGGATTTGTCGTTTTAAAATAATCACCTATACAGATCCTAGAGAACTGAATGAATCATTATATTATTAAATACGACCTTGATGTCTGACGTAAAAAATACGAACTTAGACGAGATCTATATAGTCGGTATTAAATACATAAATATTTAAATATAATATAATATAACGGTATAGGCAACCCCATTTTTTTAAATAAATATTTATATTAGTTAATCTACCAAAACTCAACTATAGATTGAGAAATCAGCTGTTATATAGGCTAATCGATGGTATATCGATGGTACAAAAAAAAAAGAAAACTAATTAATTATAATAAAGAAACTGTAAATAAAGATTGCAAATAAAATATATTTTGATTATTTAAAAAATAATAACCCTAAAGAATAATATAGATCTTAATTTTTAACTTATTACTTATTTTTCTTCAACACAGCTCTTAAGTGAAATACTTTTCACAAAAATTATAATATAATTATTTTTATTCTCTAATTCACTCAGAATTTAAAAGAAATAATTATAAAATTTTTTTTAACATTTATAGTGAAATATTATGTATTTATATTTTAATAAAATAAAAATTAGGTAGTTACAATAAATATTTAAGCATATCTACTTGAATAGAAAATATTAGACGCCTCACATAGTAGGCAATTAAAATAGGTCTCTCTATAAGCAGTGAAAATGTTTGAACTGAATTGTTTGTTCTTAGTTTAATTTTACTTTTATATTTATTTATTGATATAAACGCCTGTAAGGCTCAAGTATAATTTGGTTGCTTACAATAATCTTAACTATACAGATAAGGTAAAATAGAACATATTAAGAAAATTATATAATTTTAGGAAGCAGTATTAATAATAGATCAACTATGATAATGAGATTAAAAAAAAAAAAAAGCCAATAGAGTCAAAAAATATCAATAATATTTTAGTAAAAGAAACTTAACTTATGAAATCTATAACTTTTGAATGAAATAAATCAAAATTTTTCAACTCATTACACTCACGAGTAATACGAACAAGGGGATTATTATAGCCATGAGAAGTACGATGAGGTGGAATTAAAAATGTAGTACGGTACCGCGAATTAAATTGAAGAATATTATAATTTAACGTACATATTAAATCAGGACAAGATATAACGCGTTTTATTATTTTGACATAAAACGAATATCTATATACATTTTCAGGAGATTCTAAATTGAGACTGAATTGGATTGATGATAAAGACATAGAAACTGATGGACATTAATGACCATGTAAATTATAAATGTAACTTCCTCTTATATCCGACAAGACGTAAAAACTTTCTCTGAACACGCTCAAGCGATCCAATGAGACCAATTTTCGTAGGATTCCAAATTCCAAAGAACTAAGCAGAATTCCAAAATAAGTCTAACTAGTGAAATATATAATGTTTATATATGTGTGAGTGTTAATGTACCAATGCATTTTTTTTTGTTTATGTAATTTAAAGTTTCACACAAGAAGCATTTAAAATCATAAAATATAACATAAATCGTACAATTATTCTGAAACGTTGAAACGTAGAGAAAAATATATATAACTCATTTATTCTTATTATTACAATTATATCGTTAATATTCTAAATGACAAACATTTGGTTTAAGCCTTGAAATCAAGTTTATACTTATAAAATGTATGAGATTTAAATCGTTTAACTTTAACCAATTATAGACTTGAATATTTTTTAGAAAGATCAAATAAGATGAGAACTTAATATTTGAATTGATAAAAGTGTATGTTGCATATTATTATACATCGGTAACATATTTTATAATCGGTCAACGCTAGAATTAATAATATTTTAATGTGTTTTACAGCCAATAAAGATACAACTAATAAACAGTTTATAATAATTTTGTCAGAGGAAAAAATTCATCTAAATTTTCAATCATATCGAATAATGCACTGCCTAATGTGATATAATATTAATAATATTATAGTATGTTGATATATAATACAGAGAAAGTCTATACGTTTGCTCACCCCTCCCCCTCCACAATTTTTCCTTTAATAATGAATAATGATAATGAATTTGAATAATTTTAATCTTTGAATTTTAAAATACTCTAATAAGGACCATATTTTCAAATAGATACTTACATGGTTTATTGTGTTTAAGAGGAGATTCCTGTGTTGACACCCACCAATTTTGGTCAAATTATTATAAAATCGCCTTTTTTATCAATAATTAATTTTTAATCAGATTTTGTTTGAAAATGCTTATGTATCTATATCGAAATTGGAACGAGTAGTTTCTGAATTATTTAACTTTAATGGGTTTAAAAGACAAGGGGTAATGATTTTTTGAAAATGTTGATACATGATTAATATTTTATAATTTGTAAAAATGTTTTTCATATAATAAATACCTACTTTAGATCCAATATTACAATTATTTTATATTTTTGTAAAACCATTTTTTAGAGTATTATTTTAAGTATACATACTAATCTATATTATGATCGAATAACTCAGTAACTATACTCGTTTGAATATCCAGAAAAAGGTTAATTATACTTATAAAAAAAAAAAGTTTGTATCTAACATAGATGACACTTCTTAAGGTTCAAAAGGTATGAGAACATATACTAAAAAATAACTAAAAAAAATATGACCCTTAAATATACCTACTTAAAATTTCCAAAAATCAGAATTTGAATAAATTCAACAAGCAGTTATAAAATAGGGGTGGCGTACTCAATAGGTAAATCACCGTAATATAAAATATATATGTATAGTAGAATACGGTAATTTATTACGGATATACTGTCGCTGCAAAAAAATATATTATCTCAAGGTCGGCCGGGCCGCGTTACAAACGGTGTTGTTCGTAGGTTTTCCCATGTTATATAGATATAATAGGTACAATATTAGCGTCAAAAAGAATCGGCAAGTGCTTATTTAAATCATATTATATTATATCAGCTATTTACATATTGTGTTGGTTACCGGTTTGATTTTTGGCAACATTAAAAAACTCGCAACAAACAGTACGCGCGCGAAAAGGGCATATATACCTCTGTATAGCTATATGCATATTTAATATCGTAAGACTCGACTCACTCTGCATGGGTGCCGTGACCTTGGACGATCGTCGATCGACCCACGTGAACCACGGCGGGCTCATCACCGCATCATCATCGCCGTCGCCGTCATCCGTCCGTACGCGACTGTGCGCGGTTCAGTCTTCAGTAGACGTCCGCACATTCGAACCGCAACATGACGCGAATCCCAACCGCGTTATCGCTGTTCCTTTTGCTGACCGCTGTGGCGGTCAGAACCCAACAGCAACAGATTCCTTTCCTCACGGAAATATTTCCCGAACAGCTCGAACAGCAGCAACTTCAGTTCCAGCAGAACCAGGTGCAGGTACAGTTGCAGCAGGTGCAGCAGGCGCTGGAGGCCAAGCCTCAGGACCCAGGACTCCGGGATTCACTGCTCCAGCAACAACAGCAGTTCGTGCTGATGTTTCAGGACATACAGCGGCAACAGCTGGTCCTCCAACAGAGAATACAGGACAGGCTCAGAGGAGCACAAACCGTACCGCAGCCCGTGCAGCCCGTGCAGCCTGTACAGCAGCAGCAAGTGCAACCTGCACCGCAAGTCGAGGAACCAATCAGAAAACCGTCTAACACCCAAGGATTCTGCAGGACGGTGAATGGTGAGTTGGGAACGTGCAGGCCACTGGTCAACTGTTTGTTGTTTTACGCCGAACTTCCCGAATTCAAAAGACAACCGTGCAAGTTGGCAGTCAACGAATTCGGCGTGTGTTGTCCTTCGAAAAACCTCAATTCAGGTAATAAATATGTGTATAAATATCAATACGAAATATGAAATAGAGTAATATTATTATAATTTATAAAGATATATATTTTATAAACATTATGACTATAATTTGATATATTCACTTTTTGGATTGGCGTGGTTAAAGTTCCAAACTTCGAATATCACGACACTAGCATTTTAAGTTTTCTCAAGTTTAAAGCAAAACATTCTCATTGGGTTTTTTATATTCATTTAGATACCTACTATATTTTCATTAATTATTAATTTTTTTCCTCAAAAATAACGTATACACATTCAATGAAACCCTTGAGTATAATATTTATAATGATAGTATGGGAATCAAGAATGTATTTTATTTGTATTAAAAATATCATTAGGTATCAAAAGTTATTAGTTATGGCAAGGTTATTTCTCTGTGAAATCTAACAAAAATTGTTACTAAAATTATTATGCATAATAATTAAAAATAATTATTAAAAACGTTTACTTGCTTAAGAAAAAACAACCGATTGAATATTAGTGTATATTTTCACATGTATAATATTATATTTGGGTATAAATAATAATATACAATAAAGCATTAAATAATCTTTATGATTTTTTTGAAAATTCATAATATGGCAGTATAATATATTTGATAATAAATTTTTTCACCATTTAATAAAAATTTGCAAAATGAATTGTATACACATTTTATAATAAATACGAAAACAAACATTTTCTATTTTTTTTCCAACATAATCACGATTTATAGAAATTTATTTTTTTATATTTCAACGTAATCGATCTAGCTATTCGTAAAATATACAAATTCTAAAAACTAATTTGAAGTCAACTTAAATCAACTTTAATGTGATAATTTTGATATTTTGTTTTAGAAAAAAATTAATACGATTTGTTTTTAATTTCTACTTTTTACAATAAATTTTGAGGATTAAAAAGGTTTAAATAAAATAAAAATTTAAATTAATTAATTAATTAATTAAATAATCAATTTTAAAATAGTCTTGACAACAAATTTAAATCTGTTTTAAAATTATATCGCTTGACTAGATCAATCAGTACGTTGAAATTATTACTTAACTATATAACTGTTATGTTACAAAAAATAACTACTTTTCATATCCTTGACAAGTATAGTAGGTACATAAGTTCCTTATATCATTTTTATATTTCTTATTTCAATAGAATTAACGAAAGACATATTTAATTGATATTGAAAACAATTACTTTATATTATTTTATTTTTCATTAAATATTTTATAAATTGTTAAGTATAATTTACTTTGAATCCTAGAAATTATTTATCAATATTAATAATTCAAATAACTTTATCTACCTGTAAAACCTACGTCGTACTCAGTTTTTTTTTTTATTATAAAACAATGAGAACAAGTACAGTTTATTAATAAATATGTATACTCACTATACTTAATTTTCAGAAATTTGTTAACATTTCTTTTAAGACATATTTAGTAAAATATAGAAATAAGAATTTTATTTATCACAATATTGTTAAACAAATATGTATGCATAGACAAATAAATTGTTTTCGCCATAATTAGATTATGAGTAGCATTTATAGCAGGTACCAAGCACCTACGTACATTGCTATCAAATTTTTTGAATTTTAATAATAAAAATATTTGTATTTTATACAAAAATAAAGTTCCAGCAAGTGGTCTTTTTAATATTTTTACATAATGTCAATTTCTTTTAAGTAAAATAGACAGAACACAATTATTAACAAATTAATTTGTTTGTATGTTAACCAAAATGTAATTTTAATACATTATTTATTTTCGTTTTATCAAATTTAAAATTAAAAACTATGTTATAATTTTAATAAAATATAATGAAAACCCATAAAAATGCATAGTCATCATATTGCTCGTGATTATTATGTTCTCTACAATTTCATTAACAATGGCAAGGCCTGTGTCAGCAGTAACGAATATGCAAATATTCACCGAGTATCAAGGACCAACGTTATAATTGTTTGCTACAGCAGATTAACAAGTATACAATAATTGATCGTCTGGAACGCGTTTTTCTATAATTTTTAAAATTACGCAGTGGTTGAAGTTTAGGTATGGATGGTATAGTAGCAGCTATTCTTATATACAGATGTACCTATATAGCTTTACACGTAGGTCGCCATACTAAACCAACAGCGATACTTACGCACACGCATCCGGATCTTCTATTAATAGGTACACATTGCAGACACCTATATTTTAAAATTATTTTATTTATTTATCAATAATTAATGGGTTTAGTTAATGGGTTACACTGAACTGCATATTTACCTAAATAATATGTAAAACAGGCGCATTTTTAGAATTTTTGCAATAAAAGCCGTAGGTGTAAATGACATGTGAAACCCGAACAGAGGAATTAAATAACTCGTATAGTGGGCATATACGAGTACATACATATACGTTCGTTCAGGAGTCATTGATCTATGGATTCACCGATTGCTGTTCAGTAATAATTCATAATAATATAACTGGTCCCAAACGGGTTTAGCATGCTAATGAGCTCTAGGGCGCGTATATATCGCATACACGCACACATAAAATACATAATATATAATATAATGCATTTATTATTTCATAACTCCTTTAATGAAATACAATATGCGTGATAGCGGCCTAACTCGATTTAAAGGTGAAAAAAGAGCTGGATATGAATCCAGAGTTCATAGATTAAAGCGACTTAATCCCTTTCCATAAATACTTTTGCTATACATACATTTAAATACAATTTTAAAAAATTAAATTAAATAATTAAATAATAATTTATGATAAATTGATAAATAAATGATAATAATACGATGATAAAGTATAGAAATTAATGAAAATAAGAATTGGGAACAAATGTTTTTAGTAAGTTAAATTTTTATTATAACAAGTTATTCATTGTTATTGGTTTGTTAATATATGTAAAAATATATAATATAATCAGAAATACTTATTATTAGTAGGTACCTACATATTATTTTACTTAGACTTTATTTAATAGTTTACGATTTGCATATTATTTACATAAACAAAAAGTGAAAAAAATACATAATATGAACAAATTAAAAAGTTATTTAAAAAGTTAGTAGATATATTTTATTGTCTATTTACCCAACACTTATGAAATTTGGATAATCGTAATTGTTGTCATAAATGTCTGAAGAAGTAGAACTTTATTTTGATGGATTTTTAAATAGTAGGTATAAGTACAAAATTAAATGTAACCATAAAAAAGTAGCAACCAAGATTTTTCTTGGAAGTAAGGAAAACGATTAAAATTTGAAACTTAAGGAGGGTTGCTAAAGTGCCAAGTATCTATTGTATTTCAGAGGCAATTCTGATTTCTTGGAGTTTTAACTCCTGTTTGATTGTGATATACCTACACCTATAAATATATTATATTAGCTTAAAAATATTATTGTTGTATAATTAAAAATATTATTCGGAAACTATGGTGTTGTACATATAGCCAACATCCAACAGACGCCGACTACGACCACAGTTACGGGCGTGATTAGAGCACCGCCACCGCCACCCGTCGAAATACCGCCGTTCACATCGGAACAGTTGAACATAGCCGCGACAAACGCGTTGCAACGCCTAAACGAGCGACGAGTACTTGTTACGTCTCTGTTTACGAAACGGATATTGGTGCCTACAGGCAGCGCCGCAGCATGGCACCAAGAGCTCTTCCCGACCACCAATGAGACCCTCACAGAAGGGGAACAGGCCCAAAAATCCGTGGATGCTAGCGTTGGGCTTGTAAACGAGTGAGTGTATATTATACAGATTCTAATTTATACTTAATACGTTACAATAAATAATAGACGCACAAAGGCACGTTATGGGGTTGACATGGTGGTTATCTGCCTCTCAAACGAGATACGTATGCAATACACAAGCTGTTAATTCTTAAAGTCTCAAGTAGGCCAAATTCTGAAAACCACGAGGAATAAAAATATCTTACAAAAGTACCTACGGGAAAGGGCAGAATAAAGACAATTGCAGCTCTAAAGCTTTTTAAATACGTATTAAAAAAAAAAAAAAACTAAAAGACTTGCCCCAGTCTAAAGTTTAGATTTGAGTGTATCTTGTTATTGAGTAGCTGGATTTTTTATGTTTAAATTCAATAACAAATTACAAAGTCATTGTATCTATACAATACAATGAGCGGAAATGATTTATTTTTATGTATAGGCACTTATATTTTACAGAATAATTTCGTATAAAAACGTATGAAGAACCATAAGATGAATGTTTATGATTTATATTAGAAATAACCTTTATACCAACAAAAATCAAAAGAAATTCGAAATTTTTAAATATGTTTAGATTTTTTTAGAAGTGCCTACTTAGAATATATTTGAACTCCTCTAAAGTATTAATTAAACCCTATTGTCTACCAATGTCTATCCTTATGTTCAATGTCGAAGATCATTACATTTTTTCTGATCTAAAGCGTGTAATATCAAATACGATATGTGAAGTGCAATTCACATATTTTTGAAAAGATAAAACTATTTGAAGTCATAATAATTAATAAAGTCTAAAAATAATCTAAGACATTGGTCTGAAAACTAAATAGACTTATATAATTATAAATTTATGTTTTTTTCTCTACAGTCATAAAGATTTGGACACGGCTATGGTAATATAACCAGAATTTTAGATTATAAAGAGGTAACTCTTTTTCTCTAATGAAGATATAAATAAAATTAGAAAACTCATAAGTTTTTCTTAAAGTAGCTTAAAATTATCTAAAATGGATATTTTTTTTTTTTTTTGATTTAGATGTATAATATATATAATGCGGACATTATTTTCCCTTAGGATCTATATTGTACAATATCAACAATACTAAATGATGTGCTATAAAATATAATTTAATATATTAATACTATAATAAAGAACGTAATGCGATTGTGATAACAATGTACTAACTCTTTTGCATTTTTTTTTTACATATTTAACTTTTTTGTTTGTCTTAGGTTACTTGAGTAAGTACCTGACCTACCTAGATAATAAATTATTGGATGTAAATAAGAAGTTTTATCCTATGATTGTGATGCATCTTATATTTCTGTATGACTTATCGGATATCTATAAATGTGTATAAGAATAATTGTAGAGATGAATTTAAAACTAATGAATTATGTATACACAATGATCGTTAAACGAAAACGTACCTATTGTGACGCCTTCTTAACCCTGACAGGCTGACTATTACATTTACTGTGTAATAATTATATAATATGTTCTGTTCGCAATAATGAGTAATATACTTGTAATTACACGAACACCTGAAGGATTTTCGACACTTTATATTATAGTCTAAAAAACTAAATATTATGTGTTGAGTTGGTAGTTAACTGATAGGTACCTACCTACCTATATTTATATTAGTAATATAGGTATTGCATTATTTAATAAATGGTTGAAAAAATATTATGAATAGGTACAAGTTAAATTGAAAACCACAAAACCTACAGGGAATATACGTATTATATTTGTTTATGGTATAGGCAGAGCTATATAAATAGGTGTACTGAATAAAGACTATTCACTATACTATAAATATATAGGTAGGTACCTAATAATTACCTATAGATAATACCTATATATAAAAGTAATTTTAACTATGATTATAATTCAGTCTTTCTCACATGATAAATCTGTGTAAACTACAGTTATATTTCAGTACTTAACTTCTAATAACCTATAATTTATTCAATTTTTAAGTATACCTATACCTGTTTTTTATCATTGTATAGTTTCAATTTGACACGTGAACAAGGTACGTTTGCCTTACCGAGCTTCAGCATTCTCGACACGGTACTTGGCGATACTTGTCCCAGGACATCATTTTGTCAACCTCATAAATACAGATCAACCGATGGATCTTGTAATAACATCCGACACGAGCTTTGGGGACGAGCTAGCACGGCTTTACAGAGAATTCTTCCTCCGAAATATGGAGACGGTGAGTACCTACCTCATTTTAGAACATGGTAATAACACGTCTTATAATCAGTAGAAAAATAACTGTTTTTCAAGCATTTATTATTGTCAGAGTTATTCTAATAAAATTGTATTTTAATTATTATTCAGATAATATTTTTTCAAATAAAAAATTATTCAAATGACTTTTTACAATTATTTGATTAAAAATGTATCCGATTAATTATCAGTTATTTTATTTGATTTAAGATTAAACATATTATATTCGTAATTTATAATTTTAAACACGCAAATATTAAAAACTAAAATTAACTTCGTATTTAAAATCGCACTGTTAAACATATTATTTTATTCTGAATAAATGAAAAAATATTATTAACAAAGCAATGTATAAAACTATAGAAAAAATATTTGTTATAGTAATTTCGTAATAGGTAATTACGAAAATAGTAAGTAATAATTAATAAGTATAACAATATTATTCGTCTAAGCTATTTAGTTATAACTTATATCTATAAAATATGTAATATATATATTCTACTTATTGTACATTTTTGGGTTACCTGTTACTTATTAGAATTTATGAAATAAATTGTATAACCCTTATTGTCAACGAATAAAGGACTACGACTTACGAGAATATATCAGTAAAAATAGTACAGGTGATACTACGTAGATTATAAATTATGTAAAAATAATGTATGCATAATATATCTAATATATCTATACAATGCAATCATTTGTATTAAAATGTAATATGCTTTATAAATATCTTACCATTGTGTACGAAATGCAGGTGTGAATTCACCGAGATCAAGAGCAGCCAATGGGTCGCCGTTGCCAAGTGCAAGACAAGTGAGTGTCACGTTTACTCAAGACGTGGATTCGCCGTCCGAAAATTACACAATGCTATTAATGCAATGGGGACAATTCCTAGACCACGACACAACGCACACACCCATAAGCAGAGGTCAAATGGGTAGTGGGATATCGTGTTGCAGGAACGGACGAGAAATAGAAAGTTCTCTACGCCACCCGGATTGTTTCCAGATAGAAATCCCCCGTAACGATCATATGTTCGCGCCTTTTGGCGAGAGGTGCATGGAGTTCGTCAGATCACTGCCGGCGCCACGTCCCGAATGCAATTTCGGACCTAGGGAACAGGTGAAAAATAATTATTTAAATAGTTTAATACATACCTATTATTAAAATGTATGCAAACTCGCCATTAAAAATACATATATTACATATATTTAAACCACAAACGATATGTGCTATGATTTTATCGTTAGATGAATCAAATCACCGCTTACCTTGATGGATCTAATATTTATGGGTCTTCGCTGGCCACTCAACAAAGCCTCCGAACGTTCCGAGGTGGTATGCTGCAATCGCAAAATATCAGAGGAAAACAGCTTTTGCCGGGAAATCCTTCCGAGTGTTCCGACGATACGGGCAGATCTGCATGTTTTAGAGCAGGTAGGTAAACTAGATCTCAAGTCTCAAAGAGTTTTGTTTTATATTTTATGTAACTATGTGTACTTCTTCTTGCACAGGCGACGGGCGTGTAAACGAACAGATAGATTTAGCTCTATTGCACACCATTTGGCTGCGTGAGCATAATCGTATCGCTTTCGAGTTGTCCCGACTAAATCCTCGTTGGAGTGACGAAGCAATATTCCAAGAAACGCGGAGAATAGTTATTGCTCAGATACAACACATAACCTATAATGAATTTTTACCAATTGTTTTAGGTAAGACTACCTTCCTACCTATATGGAAACCCTATGAAATGTAATACAGTTGGTCATGGGCGTAGCTAAGATTTTAATCAGGGGGACCAGTTGATGACCTTTTTTCTTTTTCCACATTTTATAATAAAATTTACATGTTTGGTATAAGAAATATAATTTAGTTTGAAGCGCAGAGGAGTGCAAGTGCCCTCCTGCCTCACCCTTGCTACGCCCATGCAGTCGGTATTAACGATTTCTCTGATACAGGAAGAAGTTATATGTCCAAGTTTGGGCTATCTCCAGCAGAGAGTGGATGGACAAGGAATTACGATCCAGATTTAAATGCTGGAATAACTAATGCTTTTGCGGCAGCTGCTTACCGATTCGGTCACACACTTATACAAGGAAATATCCAGTTAGTAGATTTTTAGAAGTGAAATTTTATATGAGAATAGTTTAAAAAAAATGATAATTATTTCAGTGGTTATGGAAAATTTGGTAACATCAGAGAAAATCTTGTACTCAGTAAACAGCACTTTGCACCATTTAATTTGTACAAAGAAGGAGCTTTAGATGACTTTATCAGAGGAATATCTTTCCAAAGTTCTCAAAATTTTGATAGATTCTTTACTAGAGAAGTAATTTACATTTACTAACATTATTAGATAAGCATATTGTTTACTCCTATTTGCTATATTTTAATTATACACTTTATCCTTAGATCACTGACCATTTATTCCAAGGTAATCTAAATTTTGGACTTGACCTAGTAGCATTAAATGTACAAAGAGGACGTGACCATGGTTTACCACCCTACAATGAATGGCGACAAGTATGTGGGTATGAAAAAGCAAGGAACTGGAACGATTTAGAAGAATATATGGAACCACAAGTATAAACTACTATAATAATTACTTAGTATTTAAGGATATGAATTTAATAAATTACACCAATGAATACTTAGTATTCATAAAATTTTAAATTAACTTATTGTAGGTATAAAAAAAATCATAAAATACAATAAATCTGTAATTTTTCTCTAAGTTGTTCAACAAGAATAATTCTGATTACATGCACTAACGTCTAAAATATAAGAAATAAAATATTGTGCTAAAAATATTTATAATTTTGATTTTGTATCATACTCATTATTAATTTAGATTAAAATTTAAAAATATAAATAAAAAAAATTATTAAATTTTTTATCCTACTCATAAAATAAAATGCATAGAATATTACCATCAATATCAGCAATATTATTTTTGTTACAGACTATTGTTAGACTTGCACGATTGTACAATTCGGTTGATGAAATAGACTTGTATATTGGAGGAGTTTCAGAAAAACCGTTGAAAGATGCTCTAGTAGGCCCAACTTTTGTGTGCATCATTGGAGATCAATTCTCTAGACTTAGACGTGGTGACAGATTTTTCTACGAAGAAGGCGGTCATCCGTCTTCTTTTGATCAAGGTAACTAAATTTAACAACTATTTAGATTTTAGAATGTATTTACATTTAAAAGGAATAAAATTATTATTTTAGTTCAGCTACAAGAACTCAGAAAGAGTAGTTTGGCAAGATTATTGTGTGATAATTCTGATGATATGGCTCTCATTCAACCATTAGCTTTCTTAAAGCCATCGTTTTTGTAAGAATTTTCATAATTTTAAATTATACCAATTAACTCTATCAATCCACTTCTATATAACTAATAAGTAATAACTGTTATGGTTTTCAGGAATCAAAGGGTAGCTTGTGCAAGTTCTTCTATACCAAAAGTGGATTTAAGAGCATGGGCTGGAGAAAGAACAGCAGTACCATAAATTTGAGACTGTATTAACATCCACCATACCAATCAAATTATAAAAATGCTATACAAAGAGGAGAATAAAGAACAACAGGCATTCGTGCAATATGTGATCTACTTTAAGATTTAAAATATAGCACGTAAACTACCACATATATTAGAATGTAATAATTATATGTAATCTACAGTAATGTAACACATTTAATTGATTGTTATGATCAGTTTGAAAAATTAAAACGAATCGTCTACACTTAATGCGGTCATATACTCAAATGATTAAAGCCTGGTACAAATCAATACATAAATCTGATGATTACAAAATATTTGTAAAGTGTAGGGTTAGATTTAAAAAACTAGAATTGCAGTGCTATTGAAAAGTTTTAAATTAATATTATACTACTTTATTTGATTAACATTTTAATAATAAGCAATTTAAAAATAAAATATTATGTGTTAGATCAAAAGTTAATTATTGTAGATGATTGTTGTGCCGTAGATCACATATTGCATGAATGTAGAATAACAAATGAATAAAAATGTATGATATTCATTTGTCATAAATTAAATAATAATCAGTGTAGATTATAAAAAATGTAAATAAACGTATGCAAAACATTAAAATAATTTTAATTTACAAATTATTATAAGTATTTTAATAATCAACTATAAATTCCTCATTGATTTTCATCTTCATTAGTTTGTTTTACAAATGATTTCTTTTGAACTGGTCTACACTCTGGATATTTATCAGTCAAAAAACTCCTTATTTCACCATACTCAGCTAACAAGTTATACTTTGCCTAATAATAAAACAATTGATAAAAATTCAAATTATTATAAATAAAGCTTTAGTAAATAAAACAAATTCTATTTCAACTGTACCTTATCCATATTTCTAATAGTTTCAATTTTTTTCTCTTTAATATACCAATGAGTTTTTTTGGTATAAAATGGTAAGGATTTCTTCTTCCGTAACCTTACTTTATTATCCATAACATACTGCAAAAAATCAGGAGCTTCTTTAGGATCTGTTTTAACAGGTCCTTTTGGAGAAGCAACAATTACTGGTAAGTAATCATTTTCTTTTCTAAATTCTACAAGATGATAATTTGTTTCATCGGCCAATTGTTGATGAGTTTTCTGTAAATAACGAACTGTTTTAAGATTTAAATTCAAAAATTTAAAACATTAAAATATGTATGGTTATAATTTATAAATATACTAAGCAATTTTGACACTATTAACAATCAAGGATGAACTGGCCCATTACAATAATAGATTAAATGGCCTGATAATATTTTAGGAATTAGAAGTATAATACATGAAATTACATAAAAATATAATAAACAGAATACATAAATAGGTATATAGCTTATTTGCTAGTTTGATTTTAAGTATCGTTATCCAAAATTTTATAGTATTATGGAGTGATCAACCGTTTTCTCAAATTTTCGATAAGCTATTATATATCATTCAAAAAATTTGTACAATGTTTAAAATATACATACAGATATATATATGAACAAAAAGCCAGAATAAGGATTTATTTATACGCTGTAATTATTATTTCATAATTTTTAAATTGTATTAAATATAAAATATGTATTTGCATATAAATATCAAACATTAATCCTAAGAAACTAACCTGTTTTAATAAGCCCAAAAAAAATGCTTTAACAACATTTTGTAAATTGGTAGAACCTTCTACTTTGGCATACAAGTCTTTAATACCAATAATTTCACAAATTGTTTTTATAGCACGATGACAAATTAATCCATGACCTTCAGGTCTTTTCTCCACAAATATTCTAGTGTTACAGAATTGTGTAAAGAAGTCGTGATAAACGGTATGGTTATTGTACCGTTCAATATACATTAACTTTTGTCCTGCCCTATTTTTAGCACGTCTTAGTGCAGCTCTAGAATCGGCTGCTTTACCTAAAGCAAAACCAGCTAAACCATTTTTATTACCAGTTACAGCAACAACACTTATTCTTCTATAACGACCAGCATTAGCTTTCATACAAAATACAGTTTTGAATTCTAACACTTTGGTATCAAAACCATCAAAGTTATCTGTTAACAAATAATAATAATAATTTAAAAAAATTAGATTCTGGAGAAAAATTATTTAAAAACTTAACAATTAAAATACTACTAACATTCATTTATAGGATCTGGTGGTCCTATACTGCGTCCAGGCATTTTGGAACCTGACCAACCTCGTTCAGTTGGTGAAAGCCTTAACATTTTAAATGTACCCATTGAATCTCTAAGCTTAATAAGACGAGCTTGTCTTTCAGGATCTGGCGGTAATTTAGTTCTTTTTATTAGATCTCGCCCTTTAATTATTGGGGCATTGAGCCCAGGCCATATAATATTATCAACACCTATTATTAAAAAAAAAAAAAATTATACATTTTTATTTAATATAAATTAACAAGTGACATTCGCCTAACATCCTAGATTTTAGATTTTGTCATAATTTAATAAGATTTTTTCTGTCTCATAAAAGAGTAATATCAGGAAGCTGATTTCTGCACACAATGGTTGTAAATAAAATCTATCAATGGGAATGGCTAATGTGTAATAAAAACCCCACACACAAGAGCTCTGTTTAATTATTTCAACAATCATTTTGCTTGCATATTTTGCTATAATTTATAGTAAATTAATTATTTAGATGCAACCAATTATTTTCAGAAACAAAGGCTGAAAATTAAAGAGTGCAGTTTGACTGAAAATTGGTTGAAATTCTGGGTTATTCTTTTATGGGACAAAGTATAATGAGTAATAAAGGTACTAACCATTAGTGTACTCCAAACATAGCTTATAAGTTAAACCCATGAAAAAATACAACTTTATTTATCAGTTATAATTTTGCCAAGTTTAAGAAAATATTTACATTAACACCCTAATTTAATAATTCACAGTTGAAAAACAATAGATAACTTACCTACACCAATGATTTGTCCTCTATTAAGATTTTTTGCTCTTCTTTTACCAGCACCTTTACCACGACCACGTTTTTTACCAGCATTACTTACACTTGTAACACTTTTCCAAATGTGTTCAGCCGTATCTAAAAATAAAATTTATTGATAAATTATAAACTTATTAAAAAACTAAATTTATTTATTTATTGTTAAGACAAATACATAAGTATAGTATCAAAAAATAAAAAATAAATTACAAACTTTTAAGAAAAACATATAGTTAATGACACTTACGTTTTTTAAAAAAACTTTCATGACGCACTTGCTGAACACATACAGATTGAAACTGTAATACTTTGGTCTGAGGCACAATTAAAGTTCTATAGTAGCATCTAGTACAATCTTTCAAAATGTCAGGACCTAAAATATAATTTATGTATAGTTTGAATATACTCAATCATGTAAATTTCACTTATCTCATTGCATACAAATAAGTATAATAATAAGTAAATCTTACATATTTAACAAATAAAAACACAAGATAAAATTATAATATACATTGCACACAATATCAGGCAATAACTAATAGTTAACAAATTATATTTATAATTTACTTACGTTTGGTAGAAACCACACTTTGGGCAATATTAATACTCTTCGGTGAGAGCAGTCGCTTCAGCACAGATATCATTTTTTTTATGTGTTATATAATATTACCATAGTATTTTAATTAAAAAATTAATAAAAATCTACCTTTCAGAACAAAAATTAGGAATACCAAAAAGACCAAACCAACCAGCCGGACTCCTTAACAGAAATATATGTATAGAATAGAATAGAATATGAATACGAAATAGATTAAATGATAACGAACCAGACCGCTTATCAAAATTGTTAAATAACTTACCTAACCACGGTTGTAACTCGTAGTAAAAAATAAATTAAATTTCATTATACTCTTAGTATTAAGTATAGAATGGTTAGTTTCATAGGAAGACTGAAAGTTAGTTGCAATTTGCAAATGCCGGTCACCGGTGTCAGTCTAATCATTGATTATAGAATAATGAACACCTAAACACCTATACCATAATTTTAAATTTTCTAGTCATATAATAATTTATTTATGTAATCGGTTTTGATACATAATTTTTGAGTTAATAACACCTTATTTGTAAATACTGTAAAACTGTGTAAATAAGTTCATATTCGATATTACCATCCGTCCAAATAATTGACTTGCAGCCAAACTTTACAACATTTTAATACCTCGAACAGATCAAGTCAAATGCTTAGGTATCGTTTTTGATAAACGACTATCTTGGAAAAATCATATTTCCGAAAAACGTAAACAATTAAACTCTTGATTGTATTACCTACTCCCATAGATAATATTATCTATTTAAAATTAATTTTGTAAAATGTAATACCTACTGTCAATGTTCAGAGTTCAGTATATTTTTATCAATAAATAATTGTCAGTTGAATTTTGATTATTTTTGTCATTCCACACTCCAATGCTAATCAGTTACTAATTAGTAATTACTATCACAAAATATGAAAATAATAATAATAATAGAAAATTGTTTAAACATCGGAAATATTTGATAGGTACCTAATAACTATTTATTTTATAGATTTCTTCGAGTTCAGTACTTACAGATTAACACTTTCAACGCCGTTGACGCGTTTCCCCTTCTATCTATAAAGATTTTTTCTAGAACATATTTTTGACTTGGGAACCCCAAAAAAATTATCCACTTGGCCCTAATTTTATTAAATCAAAATAATAATAATAATGTAAGCTGTAGAGACCTCTAATTTTCTCAAATTCTTCCACAGTTCCACCTCTCTCCCCGTTATTCTAAGTAGGTAAAAACGACTGAGTGCTCCCTACATCATGTTTATTATACTAATATTTATTTATTTTTTACCGCTATTATAACACTTACTTGTTATACATGTTAGTACAGTTGTATAATTCTTTTCAAAAATAAAAATATGTTCACATTATAGATAGATATAATAGCTTTTAATATTAATTATTCTGGATGGAGGCGTGGAGCCATAAATATATTGATTTTATGATGATGTGTTGTTTTTTTTATGTTTGTATATGTGTATGATAATTGATGGGCATACTTAGGTTATCGATTTAATGCTTCAATTTTCAAAAACAGGGATGGTTTTAGGTATAAAACAAAATGTAGTTTATACTTTGAAGAGATCAAATCTCAAAATTACCAGTTTTTATTTTTATATTTGGGAAAAATAAACAAAAAATTAAAGAAAAAGAAAAATGTTTGCAGATTTTTGTTTAATGTAATTCGAAAACGAACGACTTTAGATACTTGAAAATTTCACCAAATTATTTACTTTCGATAAAATTTTCAAAATATTTCAATTATTTTTTAACTATATACATATAGGCATAAAAAATGTTATTTATATAAATTAAAATTAAAAATTCTTTCGTGGTGAAAAATTTATAAAACACTTTTCTTTTTGCATTTAAGTTTTGATTAAGTTAATAAAAATAATTAATTTAAGTTAAGTATATACAAGAGCATTAAGAGAATTTGTCAGTGCAATAGAATTTTCTTTCAGACCCATGCGCAATAAATAAAACCCATTCACGTAGTCGTTTTTTATAATTTTTAAGTAATCATCAAATAAGATTTTATTTTTGAGGATAAGTGATATTGATTTTATATTTTAATATTATTTGTCTAAAATTTAATTTTTTATTTTAACTGCTATGGCCTGTGGATATTAAATTGTTTTTGACAATATTTAGACGAATTGAAATCGTCAATGTCAAACTCTAAAAAATATTACCTACAGTGCTGCAACTATAAGGATTTGGAGCTTAGGCATAGATTGTATTGATATAATTTAAGTCTAGAGGGATCTGTCATGAAATGATAGGCTTCTTTGAAAGTGCAATGCACTCCCAATATTTTCTCTATATAGTTGTGGCACTGATTACCTTTTATATACCTATTCTCATTGTATTTTATAATGAGTAATACATTTATTGTGAGAAATTTACGTTTACTCAAAAATATTAAAAACATATTTTGTGTAAATGCGTTTTATTTACGTTGCGGCGTGTGGGTCAGATAGAAATACAATTAATATTTAATACAAATGTCAAACAGTGTACTAAGTACTGACATCAGTGACATCCATTTAAGTTATAGAAGTTAATAGCTAACAAATAATAAATTTAACTCACTTGGTGGCTTATCATCGATTTAACTGAAAAAAGATAAGTAATTGAAATATTTAATTAGGTATTAATTAGGTATAAACTAGTTTTTGAAGAATAAAAAAAATATTTAAAAATAACTAATTAGTTAATATCTAACTTTGAGTCTTTACATACCTATATAAATTATAAATTATTTAGGAACCTATAATAGGTACTCATGAGAATTCATCTAATAATAATTAAAAATTAAAAATCTCTCCACCTCATTAATTTATGATTTGTACACCCAATGGCCAATACCCATGATTACTGCATAGTGTATAGTAAAATTCGGGCTGGTTCATTTGTTCATAAAGAGATATGAGTTTGTATTATACAGTGGTATAAAACTGTATTATATAAGGTATTAAACACATGGTATAAAATTATTTTAAACGTACGGTATAAAAAAAAATGAAGACGTTATTTTTTTTATTTATTATTATCATTTATAATTGTGGTAACATGTTTATTTAGGATTCATGTGTTGAAAATGATTTAAATCAATTATACTATTTATACCATTATGATATTGTAAATATAGGTATAAAGAGATAGTATATAAGCATTAATTGTGATTTTCGATTTATTTCCATTCAAAAATACCTTTGTTTATTTAAAGTTTTTAAAAATAAATTACATTTTTTTTTACTAAATTTTTGATATTACATTTATGTACTTAGAAGTTAGAACTTACATGAAGTAAAAACTGTGGAACCAAAAAGTTAGTAGATATATTTATATATGTTAATTTAATTATTGACAGATAAAAAAGTAACTTAAGTCCTAATTTATTTTAAAATTTATTAAGAAAATTTATTTGATATATCAAAAATAAAATTTATCAAGAAATATAAATTGTAATTAAAATATTTTTAATTTAAATCTTTCTAGTCATTAATTGGGTATATGAATGTATGGTATATGGTAAATCATAACTGGTGTCTAATAATATGACTAAATATTAATTTGGTAAATTTGGTATAAAATAATTCTTGTATTATGTATTTTTTTTTAATGTTTTCTGATATTTTAGCCATTTTTCAATTAATTAATTTTAAAATGATTCATATTTCCTAATTAATAATGGTTTTGTAACCTATGAAAAATTTCCGAAAATTTAAGGCAGGTACTAAAACGTTCTATAACACTGGTATAATACCCGTATAATATGGTATTATACAAAATAAAGTAAATAAATAAATAAAATAGTTAAAAATACCCTATTAAATATTTTAACATTTGTATTTGTTCATATTCCAAAATGTTCTCACTATTAGTATTTATCATTAAAATTGTAGATATAGTCATCGCAGATCAAAGTGAAGCATCATTGTATTATTTGTTAGCCAAAACATCTGATACCATTGTTCACTGCTGCATAATTGCATTTATTTGCACTCTAGTTTAGATGTTAGTTATTCTTTTTTGCTTAGAAGCTTCTATGCGAATGAGAACCATTATGGTTTCTCTCTATTGTGTTGATCAAAAGCGGGGGCGTGTTCATTGAGGGTGGACGAGGGTGTTATATCTCCTCCCCCATTGATTGTTTATATCAATTGATTTCTCATCATTTACTATTAAAATAAAATTTCGTGTTTTCAATATTGTTTTGTGTGAATTTTTTAAATTTTAATATACCTAAGTTAGGTTGTTTGGTAAAAAAAAAATATCATGTATAATAAAGTAATGAAAGCATGTCTACCGCTATTGTAGGGCAGATGTTTATTAAATATTAATAAATACCTAATAAATTAATAACATACGTATAATATACAAATTTTCCTTGCACATTAATTATTCTTTACGTATAAATACATGTTTTATTATAATTAACTTTCACCTGGAGATAAATGCAAGAATATACTATTTTTTCTTTGATCTGAAATTTGTCAATAATGTATTACCTCCCTAGCCCCTCTTTTAAAAAAGTTGAACACACCGCTGTCAAAAAATTTATGGTTAAAATAGACCCTACACTAGAACAAGTAGAATAACTGGATAAGTATATAGATGTTTAGTGAATACACTACAGAGGAATGCCATATACCTCTACATGTGTTTAATATCAATGGTCGGAGAGCTCAAACCATCTGTTTTTAACCGGTACGTCACCCGTTGGTAACTACTGCAGTCTGAAATTTATGAAGAAATTTGACAAAAAATTATTGAAAAATCACGGGTGTAAGAAAAGTATATTGTAATAGATGGACGTTGAGCAACTCTTATAAGTCTTAAAGTGAAAATATATTGGGACTGTCTGGGACTAATATAAAAATAGGTAAGAGATAAGTATTAGACTTGGACTTTTGAAAATATTATCTACTATCTAGATACTCGTTCTAGTCTCGAAGTAATTAGTACTTAGTAGTCAGTAGTTTTGGTAGATACTAGATGACTCGATCAAAAGTAGATTGAAGTTATTGAAGATTCGTTATTTCATTCTATACGACTATAGACTATAGTACTGTACATAGTATATTAGTATACATAGTATACTAATACTATACATGGTTTTTGAACATCAACGGAATTAACAATCATTAGTATTTAGACGAAAAGTGTGACCAACCTTTTTTGTTTGCAAATCATAATTTAATGAATTAATCATAGACCTATATGAACTAAAGATAATTGTTAGCACAAGTCAGAATTTCTTAACACAACTATGGTATACTATAGTACGCCAAACTATAGTATGGTTTACTCATTTGCCAAAGAAACTCGTACATTGTTTTGTTTTTGTTTTTCCATTTATGGTTAATTTAAATGAATGTACAGGGTACATTGTTGTACGTGATATGGTCACACTGCGATGCTCGTTATCGGTCGTTGTCCCCCGGAACGGCTGTAGACTTCCCGTTGCCTTCGCCTCGCCCTTTGCCAATGGATCGCTTCCATTGTTTACCCTCCTCACTTTTTAGATTTACGTATATTTTTTTTTAGTTTTTAGTTACAGTTTTTTTTTTTTTTTTTACTATTACACAATTTATAATTTTGTTTACCGATATAAAATTCACACCATTCAATTTTTGTGTTCCATAACTTTTACTTTAGTAAGTTTACCGGTTTTTTAGAATGGCTCCGAAAAAGAGAGAAAAAGAACTAGACAAAAACCGAATGGATCACGCTCAAGCTGATCATGAACTTTTTCTGCAAGCATTCGAAAGTAAGTTTAAGTATTATTAGGTAGCTACCAATTTTTGTTTTTAAATTAAAACTGTTGTTAAACTTGTTCTAAAGCTCTAAAATTAAATACTGATTTATGTATGTTGTTTACATTTTGATTTACTAAAACTAAAATAGTCATCATATCAAACAAATTAAATTAGTACGTATTTAAATTTAAATATATTTGCTTTAAATTTATATTTTCTCAAAAGCTTGCTATGAATAACTAATATTGAATTATAACAATAAATATTTTGTCATTAGGTAGACTATATAATTAATTAATAGCCAACTTAGTTAATTTTATATTTAGGCATTTTTAATTTTTAGTCAAATAGTCTACTATTATTAGTATCCATTAGCAAAACATTTATATCTATGTATGGAGTACAAATTAAGATAGTTTTTTTTTATCAATGATATTTAGTTAATTTTTTAGTCACTGATTAATTTTATATTAAATGTGAGTTAAAAATATTTTTTAGGTGATGCTTATTATTTTTTTATTTTTTTAAAAAAAAACTTATGTTATTCTTATTTATTGTTCCTATGTATAATTTATTACTATAAGCTGTATATTTTTTTCTTTACCTATAACCATTAAAATATAAATTATATTAGATTAACATTTTTACTTAAATTTTACATAATTTTCTTTTCCTGACTTTATATACATTAAGGTACATATTATAGTTTGATAGATTCATGTTATAAATTATGGTAATTATTTTTTCAGAACCTACCCAAATTTACAAATATTTGAGGAATCGTAGTTTGTTTTCGGTAAGTTAATAAATATTAAATTAAGATTCTAAATAATATTAATGTTTAATGTATTGATACATAGTTATTTTATTTTAATTTAGTTTTAGTATCTTATTAGTAGTGATGGTCAATGATATCAATAATTCGATATAATATTGATTATTGTATTAAAAAAGTAAATGAGTTTAATTCCTTAGTGTGATGTAAATTTGGTTAAGTGAAAACAAAAAAGGGACTTCAATATCATGATACAATATTGAAAAATTTTGACAATATCAATATTTGAAATTATATCGTTACTCATCACTACTTATTAGTTTATTATATTTAACCTATTACACTAAAAATAATACATTTTGTAATGTAAAGAAATTGGTATTAATATGAATTTATTTATTACATATCAATGTTATAAGCGATTAGTAACAATTTTTATGTCAACTACTTCATTTAGTTATCTTGTGTTATGATAAACTTTTGTTTATTAATTTACATTAAAATATTGTCCACTATTTGAGGTTATTGCTAATTTTTTTTTTATAAAATTAATATATTATAAGAAAAAAGTAATATTTTATCTTTGTTCCTCAGTCTTATATTTTATTTATTAGATAATATCTATGACATTATTTGGAGTACATTAATTTTATTTTTGGGAAAAGCAAAATATGGTAATTTTTTTTTTTTTTTGATAAATAATATCTTTATAATTGTTGACTTTAAATATATAGGAAGAAATTATTCTAATTCTCTATTATTAAATAATACTGAATATTATAATTCAAAGTTATGTACTATATTAAAATTCATTTTTTACCTACACTACAGTTGTGTCAATATCCAATAGGTAAGAACAATACATTTATGAGAGTTTTTTTATAAATATAATATAGTATAAAAATGACCTTGAACTGTTCAATGACTTATACTAGTTAAATTACCTATAATAATTTATTAATACATATAAACATAAGTTATTATGTTTTGAATTTAAATAAATATTACATAATATTTTAAGATTAATTTTGTTATGATTCATGACTTGTTTTAGCCATTATTTTTAGTCAGAACTTTAAGCTACATGAGAGCAAATCGTCCAAAACCAAAGCGTCCAAAAAAGAAATTAGATATTGATTCATTGTTAAACAATGTAGAAAATCAAGTTTATGAAAAGAAAACATTTAACAAACGATATTTAACAATTAGTTATATTGGATATTTTGACGATAAAAGTAATTTTATTATATTAGTTTCATATTCTAGTGTTAGAAGTTAAAACTAATAATAATACTAATTAAAATATTTTTCTTTTCTTTTTTAAAATTTTATAGTGAACAATGCAAATGGGCCTGTTAAAGTTGAAACTACACTTGTGAAAATATGTCACAAAAAACGTAAAGATGTTTGCCCATATACAATGGTAGGATACTACATTTTTTAAATTAAATCATTTTAACAAATTTATTTAATTATTTTAGGTTTCTTTTGGCTTATCATCTGTTCCTGTCAACCCAACTTGTTCTCAATTAACATCACAATCACCAGTAGTGTCTATTCCTGTTGAATCAGTTAATACACAAGGACATGTATCTAAATCACATCATTTATTAGTGAGGATTATAAATGTGATTTCAAATTCAGATTCTGAAAACACTGGTTAGTTAAATAGCAATTTCACATAATATAGTAGATTTTAATAAATAGTCATAATTTATTTTCAATTGAAATAAATAAAAATAATTTAGAGTATTGAAATTTGAAAATTTCAATATTTTAAATAAATTTTAAAATATTGATTATAGCTGTTTTAAATGTTTAAAAATTTTAATTTGCAATAATTTAGCCATTAAAAACTCTTTGATTAAATGGTAATCAATACATTTTTTAATTTACTATTGAGTAGTAAATTATATTGAATTTTGAATTTACTATTTAATATATAAAATTAAAACACATTTATGGAATTATATAAAAGGAAACATATAAATAGTTTATTTGAATCTTATCTTATTTTTATGATAAATTATGCATTTTTAAAATATATTTAAGTGGTATAATATAAATATTACTACTATAATAATTAATACTATTCTATTTCAATAATTTAAATGCCTCGACACATTAAGAAAAAAACTTAGTTTTAGTTATATTTATCATTAGTTTATTTTACTTTATAAAATGCATTTCAGTTGTTTTAATTTTATTTTTAAAATTGCATTTTAATTTCAGAGCCGAGTCAGAAGAAAAGAAGAATGAGTATTAAAGAGGGTAATGGTATAGTTAAAAAAGAAATTGGTGCAAATTTAATTATTCATGACAAACAGAATCGATGCTTGCTTAAAGATGGTGACTATGATTGTCTAGTAGAAGAAATTAGTGGTGAAAGTCCTAATTTAACTACAGGAAAATCGTGTTCATGGGAACGTCTCAAAGTACACATACATTTGTCTTTTTTAACATTTTAATCCATTATATGTTTTTTTTTATCATAATATTTTCTATAATTGTAGGAAGTAAGAGCTGGACCACAATTTAGTGCATTTGAAAGCCGTAAAAAGATCAAGCTTCGTTTAAAGTGGTCAACAGAACCTAATAGTACTGCTGTTGTTTATCCTCTCGTTGATAATAAAGAAAATAATTGGCCAAGTATTAAATTTACATACATTGTTAAAACTTATATCTAATTTAGCTAATATTCTTATAGCATCAAATTCTAGAAGAAGTAGCAGTGTTCAAAATGCAAATGGTTCTCTGGATTCTTCATCTAATAAGTTGAAAATAGTATACCAATTCTTGTACAATAATAACAGCCGTCAACAGACTGAAGCTAGTGAAGATTTACACTGCCCATGGTGTACATTGGATTGTTTTACATTATATGCATTACTTAAGCATTTGAAGTTATGTCATGCCCGGTTTACATTTTCTTATGTTGTAAGTTGTATTATAAAGTTTCTTTTAGCTGGACTTGCATTAAAACTAAAATTTACAGCCAACAGGATCTGGTGCAAGAATTGATGTTGCAATCAATGAACACTATGATGGTTGTTATATTGGTAGTCCACAAGATTTAATTGCACAACCACAAAGGGATGAATCAAAGAATGTTGGTTACCGTATAACTAGAGTTGGTCCGGTAAGACGTACAGTTGTATCAAAAATAGTAGTTTGTCATCCAAAACGACTTAGGCGTGCTTCATTGTCCGAGTTTTTACATGAACTGGAAGATACTGATGGATATGATGGCCAAAGACCATATGTTACTGGACATAATAGGTAAAAATACATTTCCATACTCTATGCAAGTTAAGATTATTTATAATTGGCAGTGACTAGTTTTTGTATACAAATGAGTTACTGAGTATAGTTTTTAATTTGAATAGAATATAAAGTGGTTATATATAACAGTTTTTAAAAATTCTTTAGTGTACTGACACCAATATTAAATCAGATATTATGTTAGTTAATCCTTATTGCGTATACACTAATGTTAACTATTTATAATATGTATTTTTCAAATGAATCTAAGAAACCAAAACATTAAGTAAAAAATAACTATTAAAATGTTTTAAATTATTTTATTATAACTAATAACTAATTGTATAAAATAACAAATATAACTTTCAGATTATATCATCATACATCAACATGTCTTCCAATTTATCCACGAGAAATGGATGTAGATAGTGAAGATGAAAGTGATCCTATATGGTTGAGGAAAAAGACTGCAATGATGATTGATGAATTCACTGATGTCAATGATGGTGAAAAAGAACTAATGAAGATGTGGAATCTTCACGTTATGAAAGAGGGGTATGAGTGAATATAAATAATATATTATATTTAACTATAAATAATTAGTCTAATTATTAAAAATTTACTTTCAGATTTGTTGGTGATTGTCAAATATCATTAGCTTTAAGCATGTTTGTTGAATCTAAGGGTAGATACATTCTTAGAAAAAACTTATATAGAAATTTTATGTTACATCTATGCAACTTGTGTGACTTACGTCTTATAAGTCCAGTGACCTTTTATACAACCATACAAAAATTACAAGATATTTTAGCTGTTGATTCAGAAGCTAGCAATGTATTATATGAATCTTTTGAAGCACAGCGAAAATATTGGCGTGAGGAAGGTGCTAAAAAGGCCGAAGATCGTACTGAAATTAGGTGTTTAGTACAAAGTCCATTGCAGTCAGACATTGGCACTAGACGTAAACCTGCTGGATCATTTTATCCATTAAAACTTCAAGATAAATTAAAAGGAAAAGTAATTAAACAACAAAATAGCCGTAAAGGAGGAACTTCTACAAGACCAAATCCCCCTGCCACCAAAAATGCAAACATTGTTGAAGAAAAGAAACTTGATAAAAAAAGTGACAAAAAGGGAGGGTCTACAACTAGATCTCAATCTGCTGTACGAACTGATAAGCCAGAAAAACCAGTAGAAAAACGTAATAGCACATCTTTGAATGGTGAAGATCATAAAATATCTGCAACTCTCACAGTACGACGTAGGACTTTTCCTATATTGACTGACAAGAAAAAACCAGTTCCTGAAAAATTGCCAACAAATGTGTCTGAATCTATAAGGCGAAAGTAAATAGGTAATTATTGTTGTGATAATTTTGAGAAAAATTGTTATAAAATTAAATCAAATTTCCCATTATGTCTAAAATGAGTTGTTCACTATTGTCATAAAAATGTAAGTTAAGCTACAAAGAGGAGAATTATAAGTTCTTATTTTTGTGATCATATAGTTTGGTTTTATTATTTTTAATCTTTGTACAGTGGATAGAAAAATCTTAGAACTCAGCCTTATAATTAAGATTGTTAAATCATTTTCATACTAGTTACACCAAAAATACTTAAAAGTAATTGTTCCATACAGTAAATGAGTTCTTGAAATATGTTATTATTACTTAGAAATTATAGATATCATATTATATATTTAAATAGAATTTTAAATGTTATTTACTATATTAGGAGTAATATTTGTATATCACGTAATTGTAATACTTCAATTGGTATTCATTTGTTTATATTGTTTTCAATCAGTATAATCTAACAATGAATGCAAAATGAAATACTTTCAAATGATTTATAAATACTTTATATTATTATAATATTAAATATAAAGTATTGCCTCAACATTTTTCCTCGTTAAAGTACAATTTATATATAATTTGGAAGTTACCATGTAATACTGAATTATTTACTGTTCACAGTCCTAAGTTTTTGATTTATTTTAAAAGTGTGATATACTGCATACTTGATCATGATCAATATTTCCATAAAACAATTGAATTTTACAAACAACTATTAATCAAATACAAAAAAATTTAAATATATTTTTATTTTTTTGAGAGGGGGGATATAGATAAAATACATTTTGACATTTTCTTAAAAATGTTGTTTTATAAATATTTAATTTGGTCATAGCTACCAAAACAGGGTTATCGTTCCACTGTGCATTGATTAAATAATAAATATTCATATTTTTCATAATTGGTGTAATTTTTATTCGTGTATAATAAATTATAACAATTGTAATTCTAAATGATATGCTATTCAAATTAAAATAGGCTTTTTAACATTTGTATTTAATCTATTTGTGAGTACAGTATTCTTTGGTTATGTGCAATATAGCATAACAGTATTTGCATACAATCACTTATTTAAAAAACAATATAATATTATAGAACTAGCACTAGCAATCTGGGTTATGTATAGAATTACAGATTGTAGTTACTAGCTTTACAGTCTCACATAATTATGTATACCTACTTTGATTATTTTAAAGATTTTTTTTTTATCTATTAAGAGTGCAACTGTTAGAAATGTTAATCCTAATAATTATTTACTAAACATTAGATATTAATTTAGAAATTTTAAATTTTATGTAATGGTTTAGTTATTTATATGATTTAAAATTATAATTATATCACTGAAGTAATTGGTTTTATATATAAACATGTTTGAAAATAACTTGGTAGTTTTTTCTTCGTTAAGACATTTTGTCCTACATGAATTTATTTATTTCTTACGCTAAGTATAAAAGACTTATTTACATAAACTTTTTATTTTAATGATCAATGAGATAAATAATTAAGCCTACAAATATGCACACAAGTAGTTAAAGTATTTATTGTATATTTCACATTGGGTTTGAATTAAAAACATTATATTTTAGTTTTGGGTATATTCACATAATATTTATACAGGGTTTTTTTTTCATATGATTATAATATACTTGTCTAATTATTTATTATTCTTTTATATTTTATCAATGACTATGATTTAATTAAAAATAACTACTAATTATTTTTTTTATGAATTAAATATTATTATTTATAGTAAGTCATAAATTCAACCATTTTAATGTTTATTAAGTAGTCTATTTTAAAAATTAATTTTAATTTAAATAATATTGCACTCTAAACATGAGTGATACATGTAATGACATTAATTATCATTAGACCTTTGAATTAGACTAAAGGTATTTTTTTCAATTTAGATTAAAATAAAATAATTTTAAGGCCAAAACAGTGATATTATTAAAAAAAAATAAAAATAATAGTTAAATACTTTATCTGTGGCCGATTAAATACAATTTTTGATTCTCATGTTTAAAAATAATGAAACTTAACATTATTCTTCTAAAAATAATATGCATTTGTACAAAAGAACTATTCAAGCAATTTAATTTATAATTTATAAAATCTTTATTTATTTAATTTAAAGTCTGGATTTTTTTGTTAAAACTAAATATTAAGAGTTCTCATTAAACTAACTGATTTATAATTTTAATAGTTGGTCAAAAAATTAGTAATTTGTTTTCTTTTTCACTGCCTTTAGTTCACTGCCTTAGTATCTAAATAATGGTAGGCATTTAATAATTATTTATATTATTTATTTACGGACCAAAAAAAAAAAAAAGAAAGAAAGAAAATCAGTTAAAACCAACTTAATATATATATTATGTTAAAATATTTAATGTATATATTATTATATTAGATGTTAAAGTATATTTACTGTAATAGAACTTCTATCGTTTTTACAATAAATTATTGTAATGCATCTTATTCAATAATAATAGTATGTACAAATATAGTAACAATATGTAATTTATATTATATTTAAATTATTGTATCCATGTTATGCGGCTTTCACATTATATTATGAAAATTAAATTGTTTAAAAATGGGTATGCAAAATAGGATTAATTCAAAAAGTAGTATGCAAATTATTTTATATTGATGCGGTTAAATCGATTAATTTTTCTTTGTAGGATGCAATATGTTTGTGTTCCATTTTTAAAACTATTATTAGTTTTTCATTATGTAATAAGTTGTAACTTAATCTTGTTATTTCCCTTTATGTTGCCTAAAAGGAAATTGGCACTTAGAGACCCCTTAAACTAATTGTAGAAAAAGTAAAATTATACCTCAATTATGAGTTCTGGTGTTGAAGAAGTGTCACTGATCACTCTTTGTACAAACATGACATGTCTATTTATTCTCTAACATAAATTTTACTCATTGTATTGTATATATTGTCGTTCTATGCAAAAAATGATCAGATAAAAATTATAGCATATAAGCAATTATATTGTGATGTATTCATAAAAAAATTGAAAAATAAAATTATAATTATTTTCTGTCAGATCACTTTTTGCATTATGACGACGATATACAGATTGTTAATATACATTAATTCAAAATAAAAAGACAAAAAAATTTAAAACTGTGTTGAGTTTTTTTATTAACATTTTTTTTTCTTACAGGATATTTAAACATATTTTTTGTTTAATGATTATTTGTGTATTAACAGTTATGTAAATCTCATTTTTAAGACAATTTAGGAAAAATATATTTTTGGAGCATACTGACTCTCTTAATAAAAATATCTGCATTCTATTGATCTATCTGTAGGTCAAGAACTCGTACAAAAAAATACTTATTTAGAGTATACTGACCCTGCTGATGATACATTTTTCATCACTTGTAAAGTAATGAAGTGCAATTTTTTATATTTATTTAGTGTATTGTATGCTTGGTTGTAAATATTTATATGAACAATATAAATATAATTGAACCATCAGTATACTATTTGTATGTTGGGCTCTGGCCTATTTTGTTTTGAAATAAAATAAAATAACCATACACACGCAAAGCTTCTCATCAGTTATTCTATTGAATTCCTGAATATTTTATATACTTATTTTTTGCATGTTATATTATGAAATACAGCCAATGACTAGAAACGTTATTGAATACATCATAACGGTACTGTTTAAATTGTATTTTACGAATAAGGTCGTTGAGGTAGACAGTGTATTAGAATTTAATCAAAAATCACAATTTATATTGCAAATAAATTCTTTGCTATTTACTTAATAATATAATCAGGAATAATATCGCCAACCATAGGCACATTGTTACAATAAAATATTTAAATTAATACAATAGAATTTCTGTTTGCACTAAATGATTGATTACTTCAGAGTTGATTTGGAATGGTACGCGACCTGTGAATGATGTTATGGCTTTTGCTTTTTCTCTGATATATTCCAATTGTGCATGCATTTGTTCTGGATCCCTGGCAGACTTTTTGGATTCTTTTTTAATGTCACTGTATTGTGAATACAACATGTTCATCGTGGCCGTCATCACTCCGGGTATAATTCTCAATATTAATTCATTGTATTTCTTAAATGAATCAAGCCGTTCTTCCACCTGGTTTATAGCCAATGGTATTAAACCAATTGTCTGGAGCACATCAAACGCCAACGTGTATTTGTGATTGTTGTAGTGTTCGAAAAATACAAAAACACTCTTCAACATGTTAAATGTAAATATTGCTTCCTCCGATACATTAATTTCAACTCCCGCCAGTCGCTGACTTAAAACTTCGACATAGTCGAACACTTTGTTTTTAGCGTTAGGAGTTTTGTCCAATGAAGAGAAGATATCTGGTTGAATTATCCGGCTCAGCATAATATTGGCAAGTTCGAGTACTTTGTCATATTGATCCACCAATTCATACAATTTAGCAGACATCTCGAGATCACATTTTTGTTCTGTAAGTGAAGCTGTTGTTCTGATAATATCCATTTTCTGTGTTTCTGATACTATAAACGAGTCCAAAATACCGTTTTGTTTTTTACCATCAGGCTTTAGGTACCCAAATACTTTGTCATATTCATCAGTTTCAATTACAAGATCAGCTACATAGGAAATGAAAAGTGTTGTACCTTCAAATTCGATGTGTCTCAGACAATAGTAATAGTTCATGGCCATTTTGAGGTCTTGATTTTCAAATTTGGCACAGTAAATTTTCATCATTCTAGCTATATTTAATCTATCTATTTGGTTATCGTCTTTGGATAAAATTGGCTGATTAAAGTCACTGGGCAAATACAGTAAACCCATTTCATTCAAAATTATAGATACATGTATAGCATGACAACAAAGTTTTGGGTGACGGAAAATAAATTGAATAGCCGATTCGAATTGACCAGTTAAGAAAAGCAATTGGAAATAAACCATAGGTTGAACATCACTGAATTGATCTTTGTATTCATCATAGATCATTGACTGGAGAACAGGATATGTGAGCTTGTCTTGATCATTTCTGACTTGACATAGTTTTAACCAAAGGTAATCGTCTGCAGTCTTGATCACATCTGAATGTTTACTCGACACATCGGTAGCAGAGACTAATGAATAAATCACTTTTTTAAATGGATCATTGGAGTCCCATGCTATTGATGTAGTTAGTCCCTGGTTGTTTAAGTTGATGTAGTTATGGTTTTTTTTTATATTTGTAAAAACATTTAATAACACTGGATCTTGGTTATTTTTTTCTAAAATATTTACAACAGATTCTAAATCGCCACAACGAATTAGATAGTATACTAATGGCCAAAGTGGTACACCGTCATAAAACAGCTTATCGGGGTTATTATACTGATTGATGTAAACACTAACAAAACTTCGTACAAGTGGATAAGTACCCGGAACACCACCAAGTTTTGCTTTGGACATGTGACTCTTTACATAGCTTTTCATAAATACAATATACCTTTGTTCAAGATAGGTCCTGGCATTTCCAATCATTGTGTTTTGGTTGACCGCAGAACTCCTGACATATTTTGAACCGTGTTCAGGTACAATCTGACTCATACATTTGACTATCTTCCACATTTCGTTCACACGGTCATCATGAGCGATTTCCGCCGCTGTCGTGAATGACTGCAAAATGTCAGTTTGAAACCCGTGGTGTTCAACGTGTTGATTGTACTCGCACAAATGTTTGGCATATGCAAGTTCGATCTGGTCCAGCTGGGCACCCAGGCCAAAATTGGTGGTATTGAGCTTGGCGACTGATGGCATCACACTGGAACCAGGGCTAGACGTCGAGTTTGGAACGTAGCCGGGGAACGAGTTGATAATGTTGATTTTCTTGTTCCTCCAGTCCCTGATGGTCGCCTCGTTCTGTCGCCTGTCTATAAAGTCCTCGTTGCTCTTCTTCACCGACTCGATAAGGCTGAGTATTGCGTTTTGCACCTCGTTCTTCACGAAACTGTCCACGTCCATGTCCGGCTTCGGGTCCAGCGTGTCCATGGACCCCGCAGAGCTGAGCTTTTCCAACTGCTTGGGCACCTGGGGGGCGTCCACGCCGCGGCTGCACAAGAACACATTGCCCTTGGCCTCCACGCCCGGCGCGCCGACTTTGGTCCACAGGTTTTCGGCGGCGTCCAACAGTTGTCGGATGTTCCGGGTGACGCTCGGCATGCCCGTGTCGGTGATGGCGTTGGCCTGCAGCTTTTCGGCCGTCATCACAATCGAATTCCAATCGGTGTTGCCGGCCATCATTAATGTCGTTTAATTGATAATTAATGTCGCGTACCTATACGTCAACAACGCGTAATCGTAATAGAATTATTAGAATTACGGAATAGAACTCATCTTCTGTAATCTGTATCGTGATAAAATCGCAAGTTTGTTGTTTTTACCGGTCCGACGTAAAAGCAAGATTGTGGCTACTCGCTACTACTCTGTAAGCCGGTTGGCGGTTACGAACAGTGAAATTAGTTCATTCGCCAGCCGCCGTGATCGCTACCGTCTCGCCATCCACACGCGCGTGTGGCTCGTCTAATCAAGGTTAATAGCTGCTGATATCAGTATCAAACACGCGCATCTTTATCAAATTTGATAAAAGCCGGAAATCGATATCATTGGAACAAGTTGACTTGAGAAAATATATCTGTGGAACAAAACGTCGTGTTCTTATTATAATATTACCTATGAATAGCTCATAGTTCCTGGTTCCGGTGGAAGCAATGAGTAGGTAAGTTTTGTCTCGTTTGACGTCGCCTACAGATAAATACACATTGTATGTACAAAACACACCATATAGGTATAGGTAGGTACAATAATAATATATATGCTTATATTGTTTATATTCAACCATGTATTTATCTTTAGGCCACGCCACTACGGTTTATAGAGAAAATATTACCTACCTATATTTTATACGTCGTGCTTCTTATCGTTTCACGGTGAACATAGTGTTATACTATGATGACGCCATTAACCAATTTATTATTTGTGTAAGCAATAAATAAATAATCTTTATCTATATTTCCCAAAGATTTTAAAGACATTTAAGGGCCCGGCCTGCAGCACACTCAAACGTATTTAGTTCAAAGTCTCTAAGTTGTAGTCTTTAATGAGTTTTGATTTCATTTGATTTGTCGTTAGCATGGTTGTCTCCAGGGGGGGGCAAGATGGAGCACTTACCCCCTCTAAAGTTTGAAATGTATTGCCTAATTGTGATGATGACTAAAAATAATAATGTTCTAAGGATAAAATGTATTATAACAATACCTAAAATGTAAGTATGACGGAACATAATAATGTACAAGAAATACATTATTATACATTTATACATTTGTAGGTAGGTACTATAAATAAAATGTATAAAAATAAATCTTCATTTATTTTTTAAATTAATTTTGCATCTCCCTAGAAAAATGTTTTGAGACGCCCGTAATTCGTCAGATTTTGTTTTAAAGTTCAAATTCTAATTTGATTCAAAAAGCTGTGTTCTGTATCCTACACGGTTGTAACGCTAAACTTGTCAACTTCTCACTTGAAATTTTCACCACTCAACAAAATAAGATAAATAAATAGTATAAAAAAAAAATTCCCACAAAAATCATCTTACTAGACAGAACAATCCCTAGTATAAAAATTGATTAAATTCATAAACTTGCCTAATGCTCTGCAAAATAATCAAAAAAACCGATTTAACTCAATAATACTCTCAAACAATGACCTACGTTTTTTGGATAGACACGCAAGCAAAAGGAAAAATTTTCACAAAAAAACATACCTACAATTTATTTAATTTTTTTTATTAAAATCAGGTAATATTATTATGATATAATTTATTAAATGATCAATATAATAAAAATATAATTATTATTCTTATAAAATATTTTTATATATGTATAATTAAAATTTTAATCTAAGGATTTTTTTGATTAGTTTATTTTTTTAATATTCAACAAGAATAGTTGCTAGAAAAGTTATTACTTTTAAGTACTTTATCTATTTAATAATTTTTAGTTTATCAACTATTAAGAAATAAATATGATAACAGTGAATCTGTGCTGCATGTATCTATTGTGTATACATGTATATCATAACTTCATTAATTAGTTATTTATTTCTCGTATAATAGATTTCACATATATAAGAACCAGGGTGTTATACCGTTGAATGCATTACTATCTTAGCAAAACAAATTTTGTGGCACTAAGCTTAAACTATATGTTAAAATAACAAGACAATAAAACTATTAAAACCAGCTACTTCCCAAATACTTCATATAGTTCATATATAAAAACTCAACTACTCAGGATTATTTAAAATTATAATTCATTAGAAATTAAAAATAATATAGAACCACAGAATAAATCATATAGCCATATAGCCATATAGCCATATAGGTATCTAATATATTGCTCCGATATACGAATATACCTTATTAGTTATTAGGTACCTTAATATTAGGTTATGGTTTAAACTTTAAACATGATTAAAGATAGCCTATGTAATGTTATGGTTCAGCCGTTAAATCATAGACCTATTAATTAAAGAGTAAAGAGTAAAGACCTATTGTTATTAAACAACCCAAACTAGTCAAACGCTAAATTTGATAATAGGTTTTTAATTTATTTAAGTGCACGTGATTAAGTTAGAAAAATAATCCCCGAAAACTAAATCCCCATCCTAGAGATAAAATAAAAGTAAAAAAAAACTACTGAATATTTTAACTGAAAACATTTACACAAATAGATATATAAATTGTTATATACAACATTAAACCTAACAGTGGACATTGTTTTTATGTATCAGCATTAGACACTAAAAGGTTTTTGTTGTTGTATGACATTCAATGTTCTCTACGGGGTGTCACGCATTTATGTTAAATCGGAACATTTTTCAAGAATGAAAGTATTTTTACTGTTTTACTTAGACTTAATAAGTAAATAACTTTTATTAAAAGTAAGTATAGTACTTAGAAAGGGTTGAAATTTAACCTTATACAGTCATACAGCCTTTTTACTGATAGATATTTTTATCGGGTAGAAGAAAGATATTAATAACGTACGTCAAATTATTTAGTTTTTATTGATAAAATGTAATTGTATTTTTTTTTTTCAGTTGGCACTTAATAGAGGTACAAATGGTACAATAGTATAAAAATACTAAATATTTAGAGAATTTATAAAGATATCATGCATTGTAGTATTTAAAGTCAAATAAATAGTATTTTAGATTTTGTGTAGGGTATTTTGAGAGTAAGCTTGCAGTAAAGCATTTATTTTAATTTGTGTGTACATTAAATGACGTGTAATATAATTTATTATTGATATATTACAAAGATTAATAATAATAGTCATGGGCAATGCTATCATAGGTATATTATTTTTATAATATATAGAAGCTAATATACCAGACATGCTTAAGCCTTAATACCATTTTTCTTAAATGATTAGGTTTGGTTAAATAATGCTAAAAAGAAAAAAATTATGTGTTAATTATTATGTAGCACTTGATTAATACTAATTTTTTAATTAAATGTTTCAATTATTATAATAATAACCTTATCCAAATACTCAATGGCCAATTTTGACGTAACGACTTTTTATTTTTAACTCGTTAACAAATTTTTTTTACATAGAATTATTGGCTGTTAACTTGAATATAACTAGTTCTTTAGCTTTGTTGTATTGAAAATATTGAGGAAAATTGCAATCTAAAAGTTGTACTTCACACCAATTGTTATTTTGTGATAATAGATCATTGAAGTATTCGTAGCATGGAGCGCAAACCTCCAAATCGACTGAACTAAATACATACCTGGTGACAGAAATAAGTTATTTTAGCATTGATTTTAGTAATATGTAAGTATAGTATACCTAATAATATAATAGTTGTTTAATACAAAATTAATATTTAATAGGTACTTAATAAATTTATTTGCATATTAAATACCTCTTTTCCATTCCTATATAGGCGGTTTTTCTAGGAGATATTGCCATTATTTTTTTAAGGGTATTGACAAATTGTTCAGTTATGTAATTATCGTAAATCACTGAAAAAAAAATGTGTGGTAATATAATATATATTTAAATATTTTACAATGTTATCATGATTTATAAAGTTGGTAGAACATTAATTTGATTTAAGTTTTTTTTTACAGCATTATAAGTACTTAATATTACATTTATTTTGGAAAATTAAAATTTGAAATTTATTTCCCAGTAAACTAACTATTTTTGAATTGCAACCCTTTTCCTTTTTGAAGTCGAATTTGAATAATTAAATTACTTTTTTTTTTACTAATTTATATAGTTTGCTTTTATCTTGAAAATTGAGTGATTGAGAATGAACTAAAAATTATATGAAATCAAACGGAGGTTCGATCAAAAAGTTTATATTATGCTAAATACAAATAATAATTAAAAAACTATTATTTTTTTTTTACTGCAGTGCGTAAGCCAAAAAAAGGTTAAAAATTTGAATTTAAAAAAATGAATGTAATATATTTAAATCTTGTGTACCATAAAAAAAAATCATATCAAATTAAAGTACATACTTACACATTGAAATATTGATAGTGTTATCTTAAAATGTGATCACAATGTATACCTATATATAATTATCGTTATAGGTTAATTTTATGACCATTTTTAATAGGTCATAATATTACTATATCGTCTATATCATATATATTTAATTTTTAATTCCATACAATATAAATAATGTATAAATATGAAACAAACCATCTGCAGCAATTAAAATTTGTAAATCTTTTAACTTCTCACATAATTCATTAGATAATTCGGGTTCATTGAAATTCAGCGGCAAAACTGTTGTGCGACTAACGACTAAATCTTGATTTAAGTTTATGTTTTTTTCAATCATTGATAATATATCTTTGTTATTGATATCTAAAAGAATCCGAACAAATATCATACAAATTTAGTTACAGATAAAATTTTTCCTTTTTTATAGTATTTAAACATATTATAAGTACAATAATAAATTAATATGTATGTATAGCATGTCTGAAACTACTTATATATTTTTGAAAATCACAATCATCTATGAATATAGTAATAACCGAGTTTACGTCAATTGGTCATCTGAAATTGGTCGTTTGATAAATTAGTCAAAGTACATTTTCGTCGAAAAACATGAATATTGGTTTAAGAACGTTATATTTATATAAAGGTACAAATGGACAATAATCATTTATTATACGTTTTCCGATAATAAGTTGAATAACAGTGTGTACAAATTTAAACCGTCAGAAAATGGTCCAATATTGTACTGGAGCAGAAATCCCTAGAAAACGGAAGAGATATAATGACACCACTGAGAGGATAAATACAATATGTAAAACATTTAATAATAGAATATTAATTTATAAATACATATCAGGTATATAGCTCATTACTTGAAATACTTTTCACATTTATTATTACATATTCCTTTAAGAAAAATTATGACAAAATATTATTTTGAAAACGACTAATTTTACCACGACCAAATTCATACACCGTAATAACTAGGTTTACCTGTAAAAATTACTTCTTTGCAATACATGGCAGCTACAATACCAGTCAATCCTACTCCAGAGCCAAGTTCCAATACAACTTGATCATTGGTGAAAATATCACTATTTTCCAGGATAAAGTCACCCATTAATAACGCGCTTCGCCATACTTGCATACCGACCATATTTAATGAAGTTCGATTTATATGCTCTATAATACAATAATATACGTTAAATGCTAATTGTTTATTATGTTCAATATTATGTATATATATGTATAATTTGGGATCTAAAAATAAATATCTTTACCGATTATAATGCCTTTGGCAAGCGGACTTCTTCGAACTACTAGATCTCCATCTTCATCTACGGACAATTGTTCTGGGCAAGGTTTATTTGGTAGATATTTAAATTTAAACGTGCTCCTAATACCTATAAATATTTGATTATTTATATAGAAAAAAAATGATTTGTCAACGATTTAACTATTAAAAAAGTCACGTTATATATATACTATTCTATATTGTGACAAATACGAGTCGAATACACCACTATTAGAGAAATACTAGCTCCGATATTTATATACCTATAAGTATGTTAGATTCTTTTTCTCCCGAAACTAATATACAGAGTACTCTCGATTATCCGTGGGTAGATTATCTGCATTGCGAATTATTCGTAGTTTTCCCCGAGTTTAATGCAAAAAAAAACTTTAATCACAAGCTAAAAAGAAGTGTTTTTAAACAAAAAACAAAAACTTGTAACTGATTTATTTGCATATAAATAATTAATAATTTTTCATTATATCTACAATGTGCATGCGTATCTTTTATTTTTTATTATAAAATTTAAAATATTTTCGTCATATTATATGAATGTTTAAATAAAAATAAAACATTTTCTAGTGGCCTGGTGTGGCGCGGCGGGTGGCCTCAGTCACTAATGTATTCTGAGGTCAAGCATCAGCCGGCGTCGCTAGCTCTCGGATGGGTGACCACCCGAGTTCTTAGTGACGAATCAATAGCGCACACACATACACACACGTGTCCCAACCGTACTAACCAAACTTTCCAAATAAACCTTACACAAAAAAAAACCTACTGTTCCTATTCACGGCTAATGGCCGTAGTTGCCGGGCTTAAATAAGATCAATAAAAAAAACATACTCTAATTTAATTTTCCTTAAATTCTATTTAAAATAACATATTACATTAAAAAAAAATACATATATGTAATTGTTGAATGTAAGTTTTAATTTGAATTTTGCAGATTATCTGCAGAATTCGCTTTATCCATGGACGCCAGCCACCCTATTCCGCAGACAATCGAGAGTACACTGTAATTATCATTTTTAACTATAATTACTATTTGTAATTATTGTTGTTTTACAAATATGTACTGAGTATTCGACAGTAGGTATACCTATACTTATATAGTTATATCGCTGAAAAATGATGTCGATATACCTGTAATTTACAATGTATTGTTTTCCGATACCTATACTTCCGTGCACGCGCCAGGTTCCATATAATATATGGTTACAGATGATTTACAGACTTATAGCATTACAATGGTAGAATGGTGATATGCACTAATATTTCTAAAATATATTTCAACATTTTAAATGACGAATACAATTATTATACAATACCATACATTCTGTATAGGTATTTTAGTTGGAACAATTGAGTAAAGGCCATATGGTGATCTGAATTATTTTTAACTTTATACACCGACATCTGATTTTTAATTTTAATTTTGTTATAGATAAAATTATGTCATATTATGTAATGCTACTAATACATGCAAATATATAAGATTCATGCACAGTTCACTGACAGACAACGTGTCGAAAAATAAAGCAATTATATGTACGTAATCGACGTATAATAAAATACAAAAAAAAAAAGTATTATTTTTATTAGTGGATTTGTCTGATTATGCAGAGTATTGATTGTGGCAGGTATTAAAAACTATAGAGAGAAACTAACTTGGGTTAGTTATGAATTTTAAGTCATAACGCATAAGTCAATACAGTGAGATCAAATAGGTATCTATATTAATAGTTATTTTAACATTTTTATTAGCTGAATTATTATATTTATAATAATTATAATAGTAACATTAATAATACATTAAGTTAATTCCATAAATTATTACCTTGTATATAACATTGTAATATGTTTTATAACTAAGACTAAAATAAGATATAAATATTAAATTTAGAATATACTAAATGATCGATATCAATAATAGGTACAATATTAATACAGTGATAAACATTTGACTAATATACATTAAATTACATATCTACCAATAAATGTATAACAATATTTAGAATAAATACGAATTTAGTACTATAGTTCAAAAATTTTGCTATTAATAAAATTGTCATAAGTTATAATTTTTATTTAATATTTATAAATAAAAAGGAATTAAACAAGTTTCAAAAAAGGGTGATAGCCTCGCAAACCCATTCAAAACCACTTGTGGTATTACTGATATTACATTGCACAGTTCCTACTTCCTAAAATGATTATAATCATGGCGTCAAATTTTTAATATATTATGTTACACGTAACTATTATTTAAAAAAATAAATATTTTCTTATAAAATAATATATGTTAATACTAAAAACAATACAAATTTTTATAATTGTAAAAAAATAAATGGATTTTTTTTAAATTTTCCAAGCTACCAATATATTTATCCTGTATAACGGTATGTTTCATTATTTATACAGTTCAGTAATTGTAACCAATGTTAAATTTTTTATAAATTATCAATATTTAATACAAATTGAATTTAAAAATATAAAAGTGATGTGCCTCCTACTGCATAGCACGTATGCCATCTGTCCATATGTATATATCTAACTGTTTAAGCATTTCTGGTTTGTGAAAGGAGGTCATACTGGAAATATTTAATTCCGTTAAGCTGTACACGACACTATGAGTAAGTACATTAGTAATAACAATGCAAGTAATATAGTAAGAGACCCATTTGAAAATGATTTAGTCATTTTGATAATTTAATTTAGATTATGTTATTGTTATACTAAACTATAAAATATAATTTATTAATATTCTATTTTTATTAAGGATCTTTGGCCTAACTAAAGATGAAATGTAGGAATGCTAAAATATTATTTTATTATGTACCTAACTATTATAAAGAGCAATTTTTTAAGTTGTAAAATTTCGATTTTTAAGCGACCCTGGTTTTTTTAAATTATAAGTAGACAATAGTCATGTAAACCAAGTCAACATTATTGAAAATTATCCTGAGTATAAATATCAACGAATTCTATAAGATATTTCTTCAGATAATGATTTGTTTTTATTTATTCCAAAAAAGTATTTATGAATATTTAAAACATAAAGTTATGTTTAAAGGTTTTTATTTCAAAATATTATGTTTATTATACAATTATTTGTTAATTGTGTATATATTTCTGCAACTTTCGACTTTATGCATTGTAGCCTGAAAATGTATCGGGTTATGTTTGGTCACAAAAATACGATTCTGAACGAAGATTATCTGTCATTTCATATTTATTTTGAGGATATTCTATATTTTATTATTTGAAAAATTCACATCTATAAGTGGCACCAAAAGAAACAAAATATTTTGAAAGTTATACTATAGCCTAAGTAATGCTAATATAAATACTCGTTATAAATGTCAGGTTATTCATTTTTGAATTAAAAAAACAAAAAAAACAATTCGATTTTTTAGATTCTAAGTGTAGAGAACATGAATAATGTATTGATTTTACTACTGTGTTTTTTTATCTGTTATCACTTTTTGAGGCAGTAAATATGCTTAGATTTTTAACTTTGAGGGTGGTATTTGGTAGAAAATTTGTGGGAGGGGGGGTCGAAAATTTTCTGGTAAAAAATATTAATTGTAGAACTGAAAACATATATTATATATATATATATGTATTTTACTATACGTAATTATATTTTAAAAATACCTAGATATTACTTATTTATGTCATGAACCTATTCATACCGTTGTATGATAAGGTAGTATTAGCTCAAAGAATAATAACAATAATGTTAATATAAATAATACATATGTATTATTATGATAATATGATAAATGCAATATTTTCGGAAAAAATTGAATCACTTCACAGTCCATTGTAATACTATTAGTGAAATAAATTATTTTAGTAGAAATATTAAAAAACCCAGATATATTAAATTTAAATTTAATACATATCAAATATCTATTACAGTGATCCACTCGACATCTATTGATCTATGATGCACTATAGTGATACTCATTTTCTCATATTTTTACAGGTTTACATATTTATTAATTAGTAATTATACATATTATCTACATATTTATACAGTGTGGTTATAATAGATTCGACTATAATTTACAAAGGTTTCTAATAAAAATATATATGAGTATACTATATTTATTTATTTTACTTAAAAAATAGGATTAGGGATGTATGTATAGTAAAAAAAAAAATATATTGATTTACGTTACAAAGTACATTTTTAAAGAGAAGTTTGAAGTAGTCTTAGCTATCATCTTATACTTCTCAACCTCTCTATGTCTACGCTCAAATTTATACATTTTCAAGTATAGAAAATAAGTTATTTAATAAAATTAATAAAGTTTTTAAGATAATTAAAATTTAAAAATAGAAAATACCTACTGAAACTCGATTTAAAAAAAAATTAGCAGATTCTCATATTATGTAACAACTTATATATTAGCGGTTCGTCTATTTCACAATTACTACCTAAGACGATTCGATAAAATTAATATAATTTGTGTAGCTATAAAATTTATAAGGTTATAATTTATACTTTAAACTAAGTAGGTATACAATTTATACATTTTAAGTGTTTATTAATTTGAATCAATTTTATTTAAACAGTTGGATAGAAGTTGAATATTATACATATATTATAAATATTTGTTGAGTTTTAAATTTTACATTGATATATTATGGTATTGTATATTTACTATAAAACTTATATTTTTATCTATAATTTAAAGTGAAATTATATATGTACTGGCTACTACATACTTATAAAAAAATTATACGGTGATATAACTGGGTTAAATTTAATCATTTGCATTAATAGTACACTATGGTATTTACTTTGTAATATTAATTATTACTAATGGTTAAAAAAAAACTTACTTTTAATATCATGAGTATCACTAGATTCATGTTCTTCGTTCATTTCTAGAAATAGTTCCGACTGCAAAGTATTTGTAGTAGTACTTGTAGTTTCCATGTTTTTTATTTTGTCAATTTAAATAAATCGATATTAAATATTTGTATCAATATGTTATAATACTAGCACATCTAAAAGAATATAATAATACATTTAATTAATGCTCACAGATATCATATATTTAAATAAGCAAATAAGAATAGCCAGGATTCTATTAAACGTACCTATGCCAAAAAAAAAAAAAAAAAATAAATAAAAAAAAATACGCTCAGGGTTTGAGATATGATTATTATAGCCAACAAACTCGGCCAACTTTATTATACTGCACATTTATTTTATTGTTTTCACTCCTCAATAAGTATATAATGTTTGAGTAACCAGTATTATCATTTCAAAAAAATATTTATAAACACATATAATTTTGTTTATTTTTTAATTAATTTGTTTTAATAATTGAAACATACAAATTACAAATTAAGATTATAAAAGTTGGTTCTATAATTATTTTGAAACTTTTCGTCTCATTTAAAGGAAATAAAATAAGATCAAGATGTTTGCGGTCGGATAAAGAATTTAGATCAAAACTTATACAAATATATTATTAATAGAATAAAGGTTCATAATTATATTAAAGTTTAAACTTAAATGTTTCGAATTGTTTGTAAAAAAAAAAAAAACTAAAGGGAATGTGGCGGAACCGTAGGTAAGTTAAAAATAATTGGTAAGAGTCAACATTTTTTATTGGGTAGGTACTTTATTGCTGGTTCAGCGAGAGAACACATCAATTCTGCATTTCTCCATGCGATACCCTACCATCGAATCATTCAAAACTGGTTCCATTATAGCAGGATATTGTATGGGATATGCAAAACGCCAAAACTTATTTTCGTCAGGCCACGGCGTATTCCCTCGATGAATACAGTAATATATAATATAAAAATAATTTAATTTAGACAGTATAGTATAGTCGCTGTTCATTGTGGAATTATCTAAAAGAACTCACAATGAATGTATAAAAAATATTGAATACCATAAAAATATCTAATGCCAAATGTCCTTTATCCAATCATAATTTTTTAAGTTTAATAGCCCTATATTAAGTTTTACTTTAGTAAATACTTATACAGTTTTACAGATGACAGATATACATTTTTTTTGCGTACAATTAATTTGTATAAGTTTATGGAAAACTTGTGTATATCTAAAGAGTAACTTATTTTATTTTGGCAAAAAATATTGATTTTTTTAAATCTTTGTGAGTATTAAAAAAAAAGTAAATAAGTGATTTCCGCTCTGCTGTACATCAGGTATTACTGTGTTAATTGGGTCACTATTATTAGTCTGTTAAACTTAAATTCAATAATATGTCATTGAATACGAAAAACGATTCTGAACGGAAATGGTTTATCAATCTATATCACCAAGTGATAATTTTTTTTTTTTTTTATTATAACTATTAAAGTAATTTATTTTACTTTTAGTATCATATAGTAGGTTGATTTAAATTTTTCCAAGATATTATATTTATTATATTATTATAATAATTTATAATTATACAATTATACCATACGTATTATATCAACTTATATACCTCAAAATTGAATAACATATTTTTGTAAATACCGTAAAACAGAAAAATAAATTTATACTACCTATAAATAGATAATATTTTATAATAAATCAAAAGTGTTATTGTGCATAGTGAGGTTCATAATAAAATAAAATACATAAAAGTAACGAATAATGTTTTTAAATTATAACAAAATAATTAACATATCATTATTTATTGTTTGAATAGGTAATTTCGTTCGAATTGGAACTTTAAATGTCTATAAAAAATAATTGTCTTCATATATTTTTTAAAATTTTATGGTTGCAATATGAAAACTTATAAAGTATCTTGTAAACATTTTTCAAAACTTGGATACAAAAAAAAATATGAGTTTTTATGAATTTTAAACTACAAAGTAGTTAGCACATTTTTGCGTTTTCGACAAATTTTGTAGTATTAAAAAACTTGAAAATTTCTCATCCCTTAAAAATAACTCAAAAACGATTAAAAATGTTTTTTCTTAAAATACAATCAAATATCTGAAATTGTTCGAGGATAAATAATTATTTTACATGTGAATATCGAATGTTGAAAATATACTCAACAAAAATTAATTTGGTTTTCGGATAATTTTTTTTTTTATGTATTATATAGGTTGAGCAACTAATAAACAACTTTGTGCTACACTTTTAAATCCTAGGTAAAATGAAAATTTTTTTATTAAACTATATTATAAATAAATATTGTAAAAATACTATGTGTATTAAAACAGTTAAATTAATATAAATAAATTTTATTTTAAATATTTCTAACTAAAAAATAATTTATTAATTTTCATGATTTTTATAAATGTCAAAGTTTTAACTTTAAATTTCATAAAAATATATCGTAACAAAAATCTCGATATAACGAATAAAACTACCAGTCCCTTGAAAATATCGCGGTATAACGAACAAATATAATGTATTTTGGTCCCCTCGATGAAGCGAAGCGTTTTTGATCAAAACTCTTGCGATGTAACGAATTTTTATAAATTTGGAGTTTTCTATTATGAATTTTTAATTTTAATTAAGATAAGATACATGTCTCTAGTGTATAACTTTATGAAAAATATGTAAAAATAAGTATGTTGCTATTACCACATAATAGATTACGAAGTTTTTCTGATGATTATCATGCGATAGTACATTCAAGTATAGTATCGAAATTAAGATAAGACTTATGTCGATTAGTGGCTCTACGCAAAATGTACTTAACATACAATGTAACATATCGGTACCGTTTTACCGTATACATATGTATACGAATAATAAAATTTTGAATTTTTGTTTTAAATCTCGTTATAAATGCAATTGGTGTACTCGTATTCTCTTGATATAACGAACTTTCGATATAACGAATTTTTTTCTCGGTCCCTTGAAATTCGTTGTTGACTGTATTTTGAAAATGTTATTGTATATAGAAAACAATAATATAAACAAGAAATGAAAAATTAAAGTATCTACAGTTGTTTATTTTCAAGTAATATTAAAAGTACAAAATCAATTTTGTCAAAAATTAGACTTGCGTAAAAATTTCCACTTTTCCTTAATTTTTGTTTTTCCCAGTTATAAAAATAAATACAACTAATCCAATTTTATAAATAAAATCATTCCCATTTTTAAAAATAAAATCAGCTTATCGACAATTTATCGTGAACTCATACACATCATGATAAAATGAATACATTCATTTTTCCGCTTAGTATCTAAAATGTATATATACTTAACCCATTCATCTATTACGTAATTTTAATAATTGAATATATTATATTATACATTATCTAAATCATCAGAAATCATGAATTCCTATATTATAATCTTGATATCTTTTATACTGCTATCTATATTTTAATATTAAATATTATACAGATTGCAGCAATTATTATAAGATTTGAATAAAGAATATTAAATGTTTATTTATTTTAAATTGTATTATTATATTTTTATTTTGAATAGATTTTTTTATAATTAATCAATGTATAGACTCTTTATAAATTTAATTGTATTATTAATAATAAAAAAATTAATGTCATTGATGACTAATGATGTATAAATTATCAATTTTTCTCATAAATATTAAAAACATAGCACCGTTATTTTTTTGAACTGTCGGCGAGATAGAATTTCTTAAAATATTTTCTAGGTTATGTATTATACTTTATAACCCAACAACCAGTAATTCTTATAGAAATAATAAGTAAGCAGCAATATTCAAATTATGCCGGTTAATGATGTCCCCGCCTCGCCTATCAACTATGACAAGAAACTAAACGTTTAGCAGTCTGAACTCTGAATGTACCTAACTTTAATTTGAAATTTTTAAACTGTATTGCTAAAACAGACTCGTCACAAATAGATAGGTAGGTAATCTGTGTACCTGTATAATTTTGTAGACAAAAGGATTTTCAATAAGGAAATACAAATTATCTTATTTATTACAAATTAGTACGTGTATAGGTATAATAGATGTTAAGGAAATATCTATACAGGGACGGATTTAGATATGCGATGGCCCTTGAGCGGGAGATATTGTGTGGGGTCCGAATAAACTATAAACAAGTTATCACGTATATATTTTTGTTATTGAATAACGTTTAATATTTTCAGCTCGCCACTCGCAAAACTAAGTAGTAAGTATCAGTAATTTTGATTTTATATTGTATAATATATTTTCTGAATATGTGTAATTTTAAATTAAACACGTTTTTCTATACTTAACATTAAATTATTAAATAATTACAATAAACTGTGGGGGCCCTAAGTTATAAGCCACTCAGCCTTTTCTAAATCCGGCCCTGTATCTATGGCTGTTACCAGATACATACCGATCTATATTGAAATCTGGACGAGTAATGAGTATCCACTATTTAGTATTTAATCGTCAAAAATTTTCGTGATAAAAAAAAAAAAAAAAAATCCAAGAAAATATTATGAATATAATGTGGGTGCCTTCGCCTTAAATTATTATTCTTTCGGCTCCGTGTAATAGTCGCAGTACTTTCCGAAATTAATAATAAATTAATAAAATTATTTATGAAAATTAACGATTAGCGATTTTGTGTTGTTTTTGACGTGTCTAAATTGAAAAAAAAATAAGATAAGAGCACCGAATGCTGAACGTTAAGCGCGAGAGTGAGAGAGAGAAAACGCGGACGACGTACGCTACAATTATTGGTTCGAAAATGTGTGCGCGTGTACACTGTGCCCGCGGACCAATGATAGGGCACCACGAGCCAGCACGAACATTTTGTTTACATCATCAACATTTTATCAGCGGCGAACAACACCGCACGTCAGCACGACGCACATTATCCCGTCACCATTCGCACAACCAACGCAACAGTGGTCGTCGTAGTTTCCCTAGTCAGTCGTTAGATCCGTTAATTTTTTTCTTTAGTTTCACACATCGTACTTAGGGTTTTCAAATTGTGCGCATCCACGTCAGATCATCACCAAAATCAAACACTCTCAGGTAAGTACCTAAAGTCCGCGGTATTCCGTCAACGGCAATCGTGTATTTCTACTCGACATCTCGGCCGCTGTACAGTTGTAACTGTACAATATTTTAATAATTACCGGTGTCGTGACCGGTGACCCACCGCCTACTCACCTATTATGTCGTTCCTTTTATGATGCGTGTCTTCGTATTTTTTCTCCTGCAGAATCGAATCGACATGATCCTTCACGTAGCGTTTGCAGCGTTCCTGTTGGTCAACTCGGCGATCGCCGACGCCGGTGTCCAGGAACAGGTGGCCGTCGAATCTGACGAGGGCGTGCTTGTGTTAACAAAGGACAACTTCCAAAGTATTGTCTCGTCGTCCGAATATCTACTTGTCAAATTCTGTGAGTAAACGTTTTGTTCCAGTTGTGTTTACAAGCAAGTAAACAACTGTTTCGTTTTAAAGGTTAGAAAACGTCACAATGACCCATGTAATTGGGTTTAATTATATGACACATAGGTTTTCCCACTGATCCAGCACCATATTTTTCATTATGTGAGGGGAAGGAGTTTGTGGCTTTATTTTATTTTTTTTAATCTTAATATCTAAACAGTAGGTACACAAACACAATATTGAATATTATTTTTGACTATTAAGAAGTACATTTTCTAAGTAGGTACTTAATTGTAAACAGTTTTGATACTTAATTTTTGTATTTAATTTTAAATAAAATTTAAATGATTAATAAATAATATTAATATAAATGTGATCAGTGTTTTTATCTTTTTTGTATCTATTTTGGATATTATTCTCTATATCTATTTTTACTCAATGAAAAGAATACTGTGAAGTGAATTATTTTACCTACTCTGAAGCTTCCATTGAATAATTTATAATTTTTCTTGTTTAATTGGTACAATTTATATATTATGAACTTAGTATTAACATTTTATTTTTAGCAATGTATGATAAAATAGATAAATATAATTATGAACTTTAATAGCTTTTAAAGAAAAAATATTCAATTCTTATCATTTTTATCCATAAATATTAAATGATAAAATTAACCCATGATGGCTTAAAATACATTTGGTATTTTTTTTGGAGAAAATAAGTACTTTAATAACCATTTTTTTTATTATTATTATTATTATTATTAACTATTGTATTAATTGTTTATAAAGTCTAAACAAAAATTAAACATCAGAGCTTATTATTTAAGTTGCTTTATTAAATTATAAGTTATATTTTTAATTTTTATACCTGATAAAACTATTTTTGAATTTGAGAGTTTGGTCATCATAAATAGATTCAATCAACTTGTATTATATTAAAATCTATTTATAGAATGGTGTTATCAAAACATTAATAACATAATTTCTTAGTAGTCATGAGTTTATATTTTAATTTATTATAATGATGTTAATCATAATTTATAGTATATGGCTATTATTTTAAATAACTTCATCACATTATTTAACTATACCCTATTATTATAATTATTACTATCAAGTATTTACTTTACTTGCATAACTTACGTTATAAATTTTAATATGTAAAATTATTTATCTATAACCATAGTTTTTACAAAAACTTATTTATTATTATTATTAAATTAATTAAGGCACTTAACTACTATTTACTACAGTCATTTCTTTTCTTGCAATAAGAAATTTAAAAATATTCAAAACTTTTAATTTTAGTGGATCTAATTTTTGATACTACTATAACAACTAATAAAAGGAAAAACAATTTTACTTGCGTATAAATTATAGCTAAAATAATTTTTAATTTTAAGACCCAATATGCTACCAATTATAATTTCACTACAAGTTTTATCCGAATAATATTTATTATGGCTTATATTTTTTGAAAGCTCAAAAAATATTTATAGAATTTTTAAAAGTTTGTTTGCTCAATATTTAAATAAAATATCTTTTTATTAATATTTTTTTATGAAATTAAAATTTAGGTATCTATTTACAATAATTATATAATTTATTGCTTAGTGTTGATTACTTTTTATTATTTTTATTATGTAATAACAAATGTTTGGTAATTGTATATAAACAATTGTTTTTTGAATAATAATGTTTATGTTACGGACAAAAGCCGAAATCGGGCAAACCTCAGAAATGCCCGGGCAAAACGCGAATTGCCCACAATCCTTGGGCAAAATGTCATATTTCAGCTTTTGACCGGGCAAACCTAGTTATGACCAACATCGTTTGGGCAAAACCGCCAAAACCATATACTGACTTTCATCGTAAGGACAAAACCGTAGAGTTTTAAATACGTTCGCTAATATTATAAACAAATTTAATAATTATAAAATAAGTATTATTGTACAAATATATAAAATTAATATATTTTAACCTCACTTGAGTCAAACTGTAGCGTTTTAAATAACCACTAACATTAAATACAAAAAAATAATAATCATAAAATATTGTACAGATATAATTAAATACACTTAAATAATAATAAAAATATAATGATATTAAGTACTCGTATAAAAATAAACATATAATAATATTAGGTTCTCTATAATTTTAAAATAAATAATTAATAAAAAATATTGTACAGATATAATTGAATATAATAATAAAAAAATAATATTTTTGTTTATTTGTTGCTACACATATTAGAACTACATACAATTTAAAACTCTACAGTTTGACTCAAGTGAGGTTTAAATATATTAATTAAGTTTATTTAATTATATTTGTACAATAATACTTATTTTATAATTATTAAATTTGTTTATAATATTAGCGAACGTATTTAAAACTCTACGGTTTTGTCCTTACGATAAAAGTCAGTATATGGTTTTGGCGGTTTTGCCCAAATGATGTTGGTCATAACTAGGTTTGCCCGGTCAAAAGCTGAAATATGATATTTTGCCCAAGGATTGTGGGCAATTCGCGTTTTGTCCGGGCATTTCTGAGGTTTGCCCGTAACATTTATACAATATAAAATAGTACAAGTGTAGTATAGTATAGTATATAGTACCCATATGGGACTATATTTATATACACCTACTTATGATAAAAAAATGAACATAATTTTTTGGCTTTGATGTGACTAGAACCAATAAAACTGTTCACCAATTAGAAACTTTTTTTTTTTTTCTAAAAATATTACCTACAAATTTAGTTGTGTTAATATTTATGCGTATCAATATTGTTTATATTAATTCAGTGCCTAAGTTTAATAAAAATTAAAATGTAGGAACATATTTAATTAAAATAATAGTAAAAATAAGTTATTGACAACGAATAGATCTTAAAAGTTCTAGTGTTTTAAAATATGTATACGCTAATATAAAACAAATAAAATTACAAACGTTAGGTTATATGTTTAATATGCATTTTTTAGTAGATTCATCAATGATATGTTTTAGTGTTATTTAGGTATTAAAGTATTCCATATCAAGTGAATATTAGTTTAAATGCAGACTTAATTTTAACTTGTAAAGAATTATAGTTTTTTTTGACAAATTAATGCAAAAAATGAAGTTAAAATAGTTTTTTTTTTAAATTTAAGTGTACCAGTTGTAACCAATTAAAAAGAAATATTCAGTTTTTCTATGAAATTAATGCGAATTGTATCTGTACTCATAATTTTATAGAACTTTTTGTGTAACCTTTATTTGCTTGCTGTAAATATTGATTATAAGAGCAAAAGAATTTTAAAAACCAAATAAAATTCTTGATAAATGTTGTGATGTATTTTTAAAGTTTATTTATTGTTTTATAATTTTGGTTGTTTTTTTGTATATTTTATAGATGCACCATGGTGTGGTCATTGCAAACAATTAGCACCAGAATATGCAAATGCAGCTCAACATTTAGCCCAGAATGAATTATCAGTTAAATTGGGCAAAGTAGATGCTACTATTGAGAGTGATTTAGCTGAACAGTTTGGTATCCGAGGATATCCAACTTTGAAGTTCTTCAAAAGTGGAAAACCAATTGATTACACAGGTACCCAAAAAAAAATTTTTTAATGGCTAAAAATATTATTCCTAAGTATTTATGAAATTGTTGTTTCATAATAATTATTTTGTATTTTAATATTTTAGGTGGCCGAACTAAGGATGAAATCATCCAATGGGTATTAAAGAAGTCTGGTCCCGCTGCAAAAGTTTTGCAATCAGAAGAAGAACTCAAATCATTCATTGATGGAAAAAATGTTGCTATTGTTGGTTATTTCAACAATTTAGAATCAGATGCAGCCAAATTATTTTCAGAACTGGCTGACTCTGTTGATGATCATCCATTTGGTCTTGTATCAGATTATTCTAAATTTTCTGATTTAGAACACAAAGATACATTTGTTTTATATAAAGATGTAAGTTTTAAAATGTGAATGTTTAATTTATTATTTGATTATTACCTTTATATTTTGATTTTAATTTTAGTTTGATGAAAAGAAAGTTGCATACGATCAAGAGATTTCCAATGTTGAAGAAATCAAGAAATTTATTTTTGTTCATTCGTTGCCTCCTATTATAGAATTCAACCAAGATACTGCCCAAAAAATATTTGGAGGTCAGATTAAGAGTCATTTATTACTCTTCTTATCTAAAAAAGAAGGACACTTTGAAAAGTTTATTGATGACATTAAGCCTGTTGCACTTGACTTCAGAGGAAATGTAAGTTCAATTGTATTTTAATGAATTTATACTAATTAATTTGATCAAATTGTATTTCTTTAGATTGTGTTT